AGTTTCAGAAAGACTGTGAAGATTGGGAAGAATGCCTTTAAAAAAGTTAACACGGCGATCTTCCAAATTTCCGTAGCAATGTTCTATATGTGCTGAGTCTTTCTCGGAAGTTTTTTCAGTTTCACTAGAAACTGTCTGGGGTCCCTTGGTGTTCTGCAAGAAGCTCAACTGATCATTGTATATGTACATTCTAGTTGAGTTTGCCGCATTTCTAGTTTCATTTGCTTGTATGTAATGTTGTATGGCAAAATTTTCGATCGGGATGTATGCCTTTTCTTACAGAAGATAAAATAAAGAGTATTCCGCATTGTGTGGGCGCCGTCGACGAACAAAATATCAGCTATGAGTTATTAAACCTGATCCTTTTTGCCGATGAAGATTTTGGAATTGGAAATAAATGAAGAATACTCCATTGACCATTGAATGTATCCTTGTTGATATCTATGAAAGTCCTAATAAAATAATAATTTTGATGATACATAGATAGAAGGCCTTGGTGACATATGAACACATGGGAGGCGAACCTGGAAATAGACTTATTTATATCAAAATAAATACCTAGTGACAGTATATCACTCTTTTTAATATTTCAAGATTTTTGCATAGCAAACCTAAAAGCTAAACGATGTGTTTAGTTTCCATATTTGTTTTTTTCTTCATAGCTTAGCTTGTCAAAGTTCGAAATCTGAACTGTTTGTTCTTGAGTTATATTCCTAAAAGCTGTTGTCCCAAAGCACTCTCTCGATTGAGATTTGAGTTATTAACAACTTAACATCCACCTCAAGCGCACCCATTAGCATAAACAGGTAATAAATACTTTAAATAGCTTATTATAGTTTATATTATATAAATAGTTTTCACACAGCGATGCAGCCACAATATTTACAAATGCTGCACCAATTTTAATAAAAAATACGCTTCCGCTTTCACTAACCTACATAGCCAGTCTCCCTTCTCCCAAAAAACAAATGCCAGTATATTACTTTACAGCTAAAAAAGAATGAAAGTTTTAAGTGACTAACCGTTTCAAACATTGTCTATAATGAAATTGTTCACGGCTGCTCTGAATAATTCAGTGGTTGTTTTGGAAAACCATGTTCTTAACTTCCGCGACCATGATATTTTACGCCTCAGATCTCTCTTGTCACAGATTTTTAAGGAGATGGCATTTGTTTTCGCTTCGTATTATATCGCCCTGATATTCAAGGCTTTTTCTCTTCTTTTCTACCAGTACTGACTCAGACATCCTGGAGATTCTCAGAATTCTCCTGTATAGCATCACATTTCAAATGATTGAAGTTTTTTTTTGGGTAGGTGTTGGTTGATGTGGTTTTCAAATAGTTTTTGATAAAATTAGTCTTGTTTTTTTTATTCAGCATTTAATCCCTTGAGACTGGGCCCACCGCGCAATAAATATCGTTCCCAAATAAGTGAATTGACAGTTTCGGATATCCTATTTACTTATTATATTTCGTATTTTTAAAACATGGAGTAAACTACAATAGGTGTTTTTCCATCTTGGTTCAACCTTCCCAACTTTCTGCTTCCACCAACACCAATTTTTCACTGACACTTATCCCTTATAAGGAATTTGAACTATTTTTTTATTTATTTAATACATTTGTTAATGTATACAAATAATGCGTACCAAGTTGTGACACCCGGCTATTCCTTTTAAACGACACTAAACGCGCGGAAATGATCGTGACGTCATTCCGCTGCTTTTTGATCGATACAGCGAAATGTGTTATTCTCAGGTTATAGGTTGAGAATTGTATTATTTACGTTTATTTTTGGCTCGTGTAAAACTGTGTTTGTATTTAATCTACGTCAGTTTGTAATTGTGCTTTACATGATAATAATGGAAGCAACAAAAAAACCATATTACAAAATGTGCCAGCGTGTTTGAGTACAACCGGTAAAACTCCAGATAAACTTTTTATTCTTTTTACAAGACTTATGGATTCCTCCTGCGTCGATTTTTGCTGAGTCGAACTTGCTGACGTTTCGCCAATCATCCTGTTGGCTTCTTTAGAGCCCAAGTGAAACCGCTTCAGTTATGTTCTGAAGAAGCTAACATCAACATTTAAAATCAGTATTTAGGTTTCTACTAGTTTATAAAAAAATCCTTTTAATTTTTTTTTACTCTTCGAACTTGAACCCATCCTATTGCAGTTTCCATAGCTTCCATAGCTTCTTCAGAGTTTAACTGAAATTGTTCCAGTTAAGTAGCCAACAGGATGATTGGCGAAACGTAAGTTTTGGTTAGTTTGGTTAGAAACCTTTAAGCTGATTACCATATTAGCAAATTTTGTATCGACGCGGAAAATAAATCCTACCTTGGTTGTTTAATCGCAACTTCAAGTTCGAATCTATTAGGCGTATTGCTTGGAATATTGTACAAAAGCAAACGAAAATTTACGAAATCCCATTGATCAACGTATTCAAGAGTTTGCCCAACTCAGTAATATTATCATCCCTTTTCAATGGAGTAAAAAAGTGAATTTCATTCCAAAAATTTGTAGCAATCAGTCCGTGATTTTCATATTTTTTAACCAGTTCATTATATGCAATAGAATAGTTATCGTCCGTAAGAGGCATAAAGCGAACCAGAGCTAAAGGCTCACCCTGCAAATACTTAAGCAAATACCTAAATTCATCGATATCGGCTATCTCGGTATCGCGGTGAATAAAATATGTCAAGAAATGTTCTCCACTCTTTTAGTTACCCGAAAAAACCTCACTAAAGTCTGATAGATTTTTTTGCACATTGCGAAATGGGTGCGTACGAAGAACCAGTACCAACAAGCTCGAAATAAATCGCTTCGAACCCATAAAACATCCTGGAAGTAGTGGCCCTAACTTCATCATGCTGTAAAAATTCTTGTTCCTCCAAAACAGAAGTTAAAACCAAGATATTGTTATGAAGTTCTTGAAATATCTACCCTTGCGTTCATAAATCTGAGAGTCATCAGCCTTGGCTTTTACAGCTAAGGAGTATGCCTCTTTAATACCATTTAAACAAGTGGTTCTTTGAACGATATATGTATTTAATTTTTCCAATAACAAAATGGACAAAAAGGACCCTACATTTTCTAAATTGCCGCCACTAATTACCGATAAAATTTAATCAGTTATTTAGGTTAAATTAAGAATCCGAAAATGAGGATAGTCAAGATTTAAACCCGGCTAGAATGCCTCGCAAAGTAAAGGTGAAGTCAAGTGGAAACAAATGCTCTTTCCTACATCCAAACTCAGATATATTAAACCCAAAAAAAAATAGCAACGCCATCTTAGCATACAAAAATGCTAATGCCGCGGCGAAATAGAAAAGAAATATTTATATTATATTATATTATACATTATTTGCTCAACCTTTTACCTGGATCTTTACTCGGGTTTTGTCGATCGAAATACTTCAATACGAGAGGCACTTGCTCGAGAACAACGAAAAATCCGGGGAAAGTCTTGCAATCACCGATTACACAATTATTTTCCGAAAACTAATACCTGACTCGTATGGACCAAATTTAAAAGTAGTGGCTAAATTTTTCATGAACATACCTTTCGGTGTTTTGTGTGTCAGATATCACCAGAAAGATATCCTAAAGGATGGACCTTTGAAAAAATCGGCTTCTGCATTTTCAGCATCAAGATCGAGAAAAAAATTAACTTGCAAAAAAAAACTACTTTGCAAATCGCGTTCATAGTGTCGTATTGGCTGCCGAAGCGTCCAAGTTTTGTGTTGTATCAGAGGGCGTAGCCCAAGGGTGTATCTTGGGACCTATACTGTTTTCTTTATACACGTCCGACTGGATCTGGATCAAGTCGCTGCAAGGCTCAATGAAGATCTTGAAATCGTCAGTCGAGTCTCCGCCGCCCATGGATTGAAACTTAACGAATCAAAAACACGACTGATGGTATTTGGACGGCGTCGGAAGGAGATTGTTAGTAATAATGATTTTATAGTAAACCTAAACGGAACTATTATTAGTCCGGTTAATAAGTGCAAAAATCTAGGTTTAACGATTGATTGTGATTTGCCCTTTCTGGATCATGTCTCTGACGTAGACTTTAGCTCTTATATTTGCATAAGGACGTCTTTGATACAAGCATAAGATTGAGACTCTGTGATACTCTGGTTTTGTCACCTATTAATTATTGTATTTCACTTTATTGGCCGGCCTTATTTCAGAAGGAAAGAGATTCGCTCCAAAAATTGCAGAATGGTTGCAAGAAAGGTTTGAAATTAACTTTTTCCGTTTTTTATATAAAATTCTGCTCCATCGCTCCATTTATTGCTATGAAAAGTTGGTTAGAGGTGTCCATACCCATAACAGGCTAACTCGTAGTCGTGAACTCCTTAAGGTACCTAACATCGTACAACCTTATTTCAATGTTCTTTACGTACCAGGCCTCAAAACATTTTAATAAATTACCTTCCAGGGTCAGATGTGCCCCCATGATCTTAATTTTCAATGAAAGGTTATTTACTTTCTACCGTTCTATTCAACATGAGTAATCTTATACTACAGTAATCTGTAACAATCGTACATTACTCTCGTTATAATGATATACTTTGGTTATCTTGTTATTCTCTTTTGGATATTTTATATGTTATTTGGTTAATCTGGTGGTTGTATGAGCAACTCTGTTGAATACCGCCACCTACTTTATAAGTTTTTGTAAATATTCTTTCAACGTGAATAAAGACATATTATTATTATCATTATTAATAAAAAAAAACAGCAAGACGAACGCGTTGGCGTTCTCTAATATCTAACGAGCGGATTGACGTCACAATCGGTCACGGCCAATGACAGCGCATTTCAAAGAGGATTTAAATTACAATTTTTAATTGCTCATATTTGTTACATAGAACTTGGAAATTATTTTTTTATGTCAACTGTGAATCTTTTAATATTACTTACTTTTATAAGCAATATTTTTCAAATTAAAATTTAGCACCCCGTGCATTAATAACAATTCCAACGCTTGAAAAAATGAGTTTATTAAAAAAAATATAGTACAATCGGTACAAAAATAGCCTTACTTCAATTTTCTATCAATCCTAAATAGATGGACCTCAGCCGTTTCCGTTCTCGTCGCCGCGCCCGCACGCGCTCAACCCCGCGATCTGGCTCTCCAACAACTGTATCTTCCTCCTGAGGTTCATGTTCTCCTCCGCCAAGCAGCTGTCGTTCGAAGCTCTCGCGTCCGGCCCGATCAGCTCTCTGATACTGTTAAAACAATTCTCCACCTTGATCGATTCCTTAATCATTGCCATGTGCAGATCTAGGATCATCCTGCGAGACTGCTCGACCGACCTCATGATCGGATACGTCACCTCCGATTTCACCTCTTCGAGGGCATTTTTGATTTCCTTCTGCACGATTTCCGCAGTTACCTGCTCGATAACGTCTCGTATCATCTCCCTCGTAGCCGTAGGTTGCACCTGGGTGGTAGCGCTCACGCCGGGCACCTGGGTGCAATTGGAGGTGACGATGGGCGACGGACCGGCGAAGAAGTTCTGCGGCAACAATTTCGGAGTCGAGGTGGCATGTTCGACGTCCGCGTTTAATTTTTCGTTAATCGCTTTGCTCACGTTCGGAGTAATGAGGTTCAAGCTCGGTGGCACCTTAGGCGCTACATCGTCGCGGTGACTGTCTTCCGGACGCGTCGAATCGCCGCTATTGAGGTCGAGGGCGGCCATAAACGAGTCGCCGCCATCTTCGACGACGTAGCTCCTTTTGTCCGGTTGCTCGCCGGCCTCGTTTCCCGGCGGAAGCTGAGCCAGATAGCCGAAAAGGTCGCTCGTCTGCATCTTCGCCGCCTCATCGAGCGACTTGACCTCCTCCCCGACGGAGCTACCCAAAGAGCTTGTGTTGCACCCGCCGGCGTCTTCGCCGCCGCCGCCGCCATTTTGAAACGCCAAATGCTTCACGGCGCTCCGATGCGCCTCGAAGCTGTAGACGGGCTGGTTCAGATTGCGCGAATCGTACACGTGGACGCGGCCATTTTGGGACGCGGTGGCGAAGGAGGTCGCGTCATCGACAAAGTCGACGGCAGTGAGGTTGTTGTCGACGGTGACGCACGCAATCCTCTCCCTAGCGTCGACGTCGTAGATGCAAAATTGGCGGTCCAAGCCGGTGGAGATGACTAGGGACGGGTTGACGGGCGAGAACGCTGCGCAGGTGACCGGCGCCTTGTGCGCATCCGCGCAGAACCTACTCTTGCTCGTGTTCGTGTCCCACACAACGACCACGCCCTCGTTGCTACCGCCCAACACTAGATGGCGCTTTTGCGCGTGAGTTTTCAAAACTGTCAATGAGTTCGATTTCGGTATTTTGAGGGCGCAAGCGACGTTGTTGGCGACGTTGTTGTAGACGAAAACTTCGCCGTTCGCGCAGCCGGCGACGCAGTGGGTGTCTTTCGCGGTGAAGCCGACGTGGGTGACGACCGAGGACGTCCTCGGGAACCGTTTCTTGGTGGCCCGTGATTTGATGTCGTAGATGAGCACCTGGCAGTTTTTGGTGCCGACGGCCAGGTGCTTTTTCGTCAGGTTCTGGAAAGACGCGCATGTCGGCTCCGCGATGTCGTGCACCGTGTGCACGAGCTTCAGCTGGTTCTTGACCGTCACGATTTCGGTTTTGCCCGAGTGTGGCACGATCGCCAACCAGTTGCCGTCCTTGCTCCACGAGATGCTCCGGATCGGGCCCTCGATCCGGGATCCGGGCTGGTAATGATGGGCGGCGGCGGCGGCGGTGTTGGGAAATTCGTGGAATTTCACGCTAGTGGACGCGGACGCGATGTACATGGCTACTCCTGAAATTGATGTCGACATTAGATGATTGTACCTGTTTTCCCAGAATCCATATCTCAGGAACCGTTGATCCTACAACTTAGAAAAAACATATTTATAGGTAAATCGGCCAAGAGAAAAAGCTGGAAAGTTCATAAAATGGCCGTTAGGGACATAACCTCTACTGTACGCAAAAATATTCCAAATTAACCTATGTCAAAATTAGGTTTAACTTTAACTTACTCTAGATAAGGAACTTTTTCTTGACTAATCCGATATCGACGAACTTAGTTTAGTTTTAAGAAGTATTTATAGGCGCTTCGACTGGCATGTGAATATCACGATATTAAATCTTATACGAGTCGGTAGGAGGCGCTGCATGTCAAAAACAGCTATTTTTATGATTTTCTCGAAAATTTTAAATACAATGGTATAGATATTTTTGGCCAAGATTAAAAGGTGTTAAAAAAACATAGAAAGTAGTGCAGAGGCATGGCAATAATTTTTTTCCCATATGAGATATAAATAAAAATGTGTTTATTAAACACATTTTTCAACCGTAGCATAGTGTGAACGTGTCGTGCGGTATATTGGGACCATTCATTTTCGACCTTCTAAATGGTGAAACATATTCGAATTTTTTAATTAACAATTTGCGTGAGCTGATGGCTGGCAACACTACAGAATATGGTTTTCCATCATGATGGGTTCCCGTCTCATTTTTCTCTATTGGTTCGGGAATATCTAAATTTTACGTTTTACACGACCAACTACACGGCAGAACATGATAGAGAGACTAAGGAGCACCATTCAAGGAATTTCAATGGCTGAACTAGAGATTGCTGCTCTTTCTACAAAGATAAGGCTGCAGCTTTGCATTGAAAATGATGGACGCCAGTTTGAACATTTGAGGCCAAATTATTGATTTTGTTATGTGTGTAGTTGGGTTTGAATTAAATTGAATTGAAAGTAGTTTATTATTAGCAGAATATGCTACTAAACATCAACAAATTTTAAACAATGTACATAAAAATAAAAGTATCAATAGTAAATTTAACAAATAATAATAATAATAGTAATAACAATAATGATAACAATAATAATAACAATACTTAACTACTTAAATATACATTCACAGGACGACAAAGAATGCAAAATTTGTAGTTTTGTTTAGTGTTGATATTTTCTTTAGTGTTAGGTTTTATTTATTGTTAGATTTTGTTTACTGTTTTGTTTGAATTAAAATAAGTTTATATAGCGCCTGGCGTTAGAAATTGTAAACCAAAACCAACTTCAATTATTATAGAATCCAATTTATTGAGGCATTTTTTTAATAATTCGTTCTAACCTAATATCCTCTCAATTAGGTTTTATATATAAAACAAAATAAAAGGAGTATCGAACCTTTACTATAAATTATCATCCCGTCATAATATGTCACCTCTACACATACGTAAAAAAAAGTATTTTCAAATTAATTTTCATTTATATCTCAGAGGGAAAAAACGATTATGCCATTGCCATTATTCCCATACTTCCCCCACCCTTAATTTATTGAGTTAGAAGAAAATAGTTCAAATAAAAAAAGTTTCTTTATCTAGAGTAGATTACACTAAAACTAATTTTGATATAGGTTAATTTTTCTATTTTACAGTAGAGGCTACGCCCCCTAGCGGTAATTTTATGCACTCCAAAATAATTTCCAGCTTTTTCTCTTGGTCGATTTACCTATAAATATTTTTATTTAAGTTGTAGGAACAACGTTCCCGAGATATGTCCGGCATCTTTTATTAGTGGTCCAGCCGGTACATAAATAATTCGCAACATACTTGCCAGCGTTCTTATATTTATCATAGAAACCCAACAACAGCGATATTGACTACAAGTCAAACGGCAAAAGGAAAAGGCATGGGTGAATACAATTATTTTGATAAAAATTACACTGTTAAACTATGCTTCATTCTTTCCCATGCCACTCACAGCTCGTCGTTTTAGCTTTAAATGATGGGACAAACTACGCGGGAAAATTTAAAATCCGAACTACGGTGACGACATCTGACCATCGAGCGTGCTAACACGCCGCTTAACACGATGCGTTTACTTTAAAAATGCATTACTGGCAATGGCCGCTGCTTGGAAGCAGCATGTACAGATGGCCACACTTGCGCATCTCGAACAATGGGAGGTAGATAACCCAACACACACTTCCGAAATGAAGAAAATTGTTCGTTTGCACCGAATTGTACCTTTAAAAGCTTAACATTCCAAATATTGGAGCCGTGTGAGGGCCAAATCGATTGGAATTAGTGGCTCTCATGTAGGAAACCGATTAACACAAATTTAATAAAGAGATAATCTGACAACATCGCGTAGGTAACAACGCCAGCGAGCGACGTGGAATAGCAATCGATCTCGATTTTGAAGCATCGAGAATACGCAAACATTGATAAATTTACCGGTAGTTTAGAGGTGTTTTCAAATTGAGGGTTATCGAGGTTCATTTGGATTGTAAAATTCGAGCTATAAAACGAAAAACACGTGAGTAATCTAAGATTTAGTTTGGTTTACCAGCAAAATAGGTTATGTGATAAAACTTAGGATGAAAACATAAGCATGCATTAGAAATTTAAAGTTTAAAGGCTTACCTGTTAAAAATATTGGTGGAAGGAGCTCTCAGTGTGATCATTAGTGTCGAACACTACTTAAATTCCATAAAGGCATTTACCAATTACTTGAAAATACTTGACAGGCACTTTTGTACAGTTGACAGTAACGGCCATTTGGCGACAACTGTGTTGCCGGACCTGCATTCAGCTCAGAAATTGAAATTTCTTAATTTTAACAATTATTTTAAGTTTATTTTAGTGTAAAACTTATTTTAATACATTTTTTTTATTTCAGGATGTTCACTGACGTCCATTTGGCGGTATTGTCCAACGCATTGGGGATTGTTTTGTTTTTGCTTGTAGTTCTCTACCACTACATTAATGCGAATTTTTCGCGATCCTGAACCAACTACCAGAATTTTTATTATTGTTCCGAACATTTAATCTATTGTAAATGTTAATATTTTCTAATTTTAATAAAAATAAAAAATGAAATGATACTCATTTTTTCCTCCAAGTGAAACACAACCAATAATTGACTGTTGTGTTACTAGTTTTAGCTTCGTTATAAGTATACACTATTAGCCAGGCACTTTGAAAGTCAAACTCGTTAAATCGCCGTTATACAGAGCAAATAATTTTGGAAGTTGTTTTCCAAATTTTCGGCAAAATGGCGAATGCGCTGGGAAATAAAAAACTACCAACAAGGAGCAATTACACTCTAGTTAATTTTTTTGCTTTATTTACCATGGGGCACTCCATAACAGCTATTGTATCTATTGTCAAAACAAAGACAAAGATATTACGGGATATTTTGTTTGAAAAGTAGGCATCTAAATGTTTTATTCATTAGCAAAGTCATACATCAAAAATCAATTAACCAAATATATTAGAAATATTAAAAAACGCTGCCATTAAATCATAATAAATGTAGTTAAATTACCCAGGCAACCAAGATACGTAAATAAAAATTTTAAAAAGCGTTGATTAGTTGAATAAAGACGTTATAAAATGATTTTTATACGTTGGGACAACGTGAGTTTGTCCTTCTATTTGACGTCATTTGAATACCAACCCACTTATTATACCCACTTTAAGCGAGATATACTTTTTTAAGACGCGTGGTTGGGTACTGGTGTAGAGGGTAGGGGAGGGGGGGTATAGTAGTAAAGAACATAAAAAATAAAAAAATGATGGTTATATTGTTCACCCTTTAAAAATTAATTTTGGAGATAAATTATAAATATCCTAAAACAGCAAGAAACAATATATTCTAAATAGAAATATATATTTGTTACTTGTATGCGCAGTTTCTGATAATGCCAGATCCAATTCTAACGAACCATCAGACAACCGATGCTACTCTAGCATCAAACAACGAACTGATGAATATCCGGATCCACACCAGTACGTATATTAGATACAATACAAACACTTCTCATTTCCATAAAATAAAAAAAAAGCAAAAAGGCTCTTGCACCATATCTAATACAATTACAGTAATTTGATTTCAGCAAATTCTTCTTTTTTTTTTAATTAATTTTAAATTAATTAAATTAATCACTAAATAAAATAGTTTGTGAAAATAGTTTTAAGCAACTCACCTTCACGTGTTTACAGGTGATGACATTTTATTAAGGGTATGTTGATAAACGGAGCTAGCCAAAATGGTCCTTGGATTTTCGGTTTTACAATTAAGTTATTTTGAATTGGTTATATTTTCTTTCCAGTGTTAATTAAATTATTTTAAAGGATTCTTCGTGATATGTTTTTGAAGATATTATTCAACGGCCTACTAATAAATAATTAAAAAATGTGTTGCATTTCCCCTTTTTTGATGTTGAGGTTTGGCAACAAGATGAGGCACCGCCCCACAATACCGATCCACTTACTGACAGATGACAGATTTGATCGTTGGATACGTAAACATGGCACAATTCAGTGGCCGCCCAATAGCCCGGATTTGAACCCTCTTGATATATTCCTACCCGAGTTTTTAAAAAACTGTGCATGATGTATGTAGATATATAGAAATCTATAGCCATTTACTTCACGCTTCATTACTGTTCGTTTAATTATCGTTGTTTTTGATATTATGTTTTTTAGAATTTTTAGTGTTATTGGTTAATTAATATTTATTGAAACAAAAAAGACAAACTACTTGAAACTTTTCTTAGTGTGAGCAAGCCATTTTCCTAACTGCAGGTTTCATTTTGCGGAACATCTGGCCAACTTGATTAACATCGGTATAGTAGGTATACATCAAAATTTTAATTTTAAATAATTCCGGAACGGATTATCCAAATATCATCAATCTATATATGTTTGAAATCAGGAGATAAAGATGTTTCGTCATAACAGAAAATATGTAGCATGTTAAAAGCATGCAACAATGTCGCATAGAACGTTATTACGGTACTATATAATTATTTTTTTGTAATTCAGAATTTAGTAAAGTTTTTCACTTCTTATCATAAACCAAAAAAAATAATTTAGTAAAATCACAGCTGTTGTTTCTCATCAAGTCATTTGATATTTAAAATGTTGAACGAAGATTTGCTTTTATTTAAACTAGGTGGTGTTAGGGATAGTTGAAACATTCCGGCAACGTCGCATACAATCAACACCGCACCATCGTACCTGGCAATGAATTGTCTAATTTTTACGTTCTGGTTCATGCGCATGTATGGTCAAGAATAAATCTCGCAATGTCAAGACGTGTGTGTTTGATTTCTAAAAAAAAATACAAATAATGAAGCTACGATTTAAGAGTTGTAAGATTAAACGACTCAACAGATAGGACTTTAAAAAGGAACATAAAAGAAAATGGAATTATTTATATAAAATTTTATTGCCGCTTAATTCTAAAGATATTTCTGACGGTTTGTTGCAATTTTATCACTGCTGAGTTTATTTTATAACAGTTTTCGTTCGCCACCTATGAGCGACAATTTCGACTAAAAAGGCAACGCACGCCATGGCATTCCCGACGAACAGAACACCAAATGCTCCTTGGACGTGAATCATCTTTAATTTTACCACACCCCTCTCGGAACCATGATGCAAAAAGTATTTCACAGCTTTTTGTATATAGTGATCCATATAGGACGTCGCAGCCTACAAGAGCGGTAAAATTTATTTCATCCGAAGCATGCCTATAAAAACTCACTTCATTTTGCCAAAACGAAATCAACCCTGCTTCGAAAACCCTTAAAACGAAATCGTCCAGCAGAGGGAGCAAAATTGAACTTTTCCTTGCCATTATCACGCACTGTTCCCAGTAAAAATCTTGACGCATCAAGTGAAAATTTTGTATTACGTCTCTCTTGATGTAAGAACCGACAGCAAAGTTGTCTGCAATCATCAAAGTTCAGAAGCGTTGAAGTTTTAAAGGTTTAAAAGTACAGTAAAACGTCACTTCACGCTGACAGTTTTTGTGTGTCTTCTTTCCTGCTGTGTTATACTAATTTTTTTATCGTTTTGTAACATTTTCTGACGTTATTGTAAGTATAAATTTATGTGATATTGCAACTGATATACTGTTATCGGCAACTGAACTGATTTAGAAATAATACAATAGAGGAAATCGATAATCTACGAAATTGAACTCGTCTATTACAAAGGAAAACTTTGGCAAGTTTGTTTTATAATTTTTGACCATTTTAATGCACTTGGTACACTTTCAATAAGTCTAGAATGATATCTAGCATTTTCCATAATAATTAGAGCCAGCGTTTCGAGTTTGGATAGCGGTTTTCCAAAAATACGACCCTGTTTTTAAGTGGGAACTACTGTAGTTATCCGATAATTGAAATGGAGGTGCATATATTTCAGATTTCAGATAATGCCAAGTTTTTGAGTGTGTTCAATGATAAAAATTTGGGCTGGGCATGTCATATAAATCAGTGCCAAAATATATTAAATTCGATCTGTAACGGAATAAGGGTTCTTGGTAAATATTTAGATAATAGAACAGTAAAAACACTTTATTTTTCAAACATCGAATCGGTATTTAAATATGGAATAATGTTTTTGGGTCGGCATAGTAGAATACAAGATATTCTTGTATCACAAAAAAGAAAAAGTCGTGTTGTAAATAAAATGGTCCGAGTTAAATCATATCGAAATTGACTGTACACGCTTTATTCATCTTGTTTTTAGATAAAAATGAAAGCCTTTTTCAACATCTAAGGAATATCAATCAAATTACTGAAACAGGACTAGAACAGATGTGCCTATTTTAATATGTGATGGGTTAGTGAAGTTTTCTGTATGTCTAGTCTATGTCTGTATGATGCTGTTGTTACTCCATTGGACGTCGTTTCACTTTGTTATATGATGTAAAATACTGGGTTTATGAGTGACTATGCCATCGCAAATGGTAATTTTTATCTGATTTAAATATAAAATATAATATTGGATATAAATGCTCATCAATATTTTACCATGAGGCAGTCGCTCCAATGAAAAAGCAAATTCCCCTGTCAAAGACAACGTTCGCAGTTCTTCTTCTGACAGCGCCCTAAACCTCTGCACCAGCTTCCGGTAATTTTTCTTAAACAGCATTAACATTATTAGAAAACTCTTAATATCCTCATTATCTGCAAAAAATGTTTCACACCTCTTGAGCCTTTTCGATTGACGTAATCCACGCGTTCTGGGTGGCTCCCCATTTCCATCCGCTCCTCACGAAGTCTTCGACCGTATCCACGGGATTATCGTACCTCGGTACTGTCATAATGGTGGCCAGGCCGCTAGAATAGGACGCCACTAGTATCGTGGTAGCGACAAACACCATTCCCATGACATATTTTCCTAAGGTGCCGACCAACATTTCCGTACGGGTCACGTTTTGATTGATGAAAGGTTTTATTACGGTTGTGATCACTTTTTGGGTGGTGAACACTGTGGCAAATCCTTTGAGTGACCTGCCCGGTTTAGATAAATTTTTAGCTTCTTTCGATTGCCGTATATATATATATATATATATATATATATATATATATATATATATATATATATATATATATATATATATATATATATATATATATATATATATATATATATATATATATATATATATCCTACCTCGAGGTTAGCGACGTAACCAATTCGGAAAGGTATCCCGTTATGGTACCGGTAACGTAAACCAGGATAACTGCGAACCAAGTGGCACCCGCAAAAGCCTTCAGGGGTGTCAACCATCTGTTGGAGGGTCTACAAGAATACCGATTAATTATACTTGGAGAGAAGTTATTTTTAGGTGTCGTGTTCTACTCTCTCTGGCCTCTGTTTAAGGTAAAGGACAACATCTTTTACATATCAAACCAATGTGCAGATGAACATTGCAAAATTAATTAAAGTTTGAAATATTTGTTTGGGTGTACTGTGGTGTCTGTGAAACGGATCAACGAATTTACTTGTACGTGTGCGGTTGTCGCTTCTATATAAACGTGGTAACATCTTGCTTAGTTTAAATGGCAGCCTCGCATATCATTTCATCTTTAGATTCGACGAAAGAAATTAAGTAAATTTAGTCCAGTGTTTTAGGCAGTTCCTAAAAGGGCTTAGGCTTTCATTTCTAGCATACCATTTTACACGGAACATACAGGGTGTTTTTAAAAAATAGGACGTTCAACATTCTCGCTTAAGCACGGGCTTATTTTAAATACAAATAAAACACAGTTTTTGATATTTGTGGCAGTGCACAAACACTGCCTCAGTAAATTAATGTGCTAACATCGCAGGGCAAAATTAAATTTTGTGACAAAGTGTGAATTTAACCTAAATCTTATAGATGAAGATCTCAAAAAAATATATCAGGGAGGTCAAAACTTCTGTTGTAGTTCAGTATAATTCCCAGTGATCTGAAAAAAATCTATTATTAAACCATTACCGAAAATTTCCTATTCTAAAGATCCATCAGTATTGTATCAATCGAGTTCATTCCCATAATTTATCCTAGAGTGCCAATCAGGCTTTCGTAAAAACTTTACTTTACTGGCATAACGCTTGTATATATTTTTATCTCCGAAAATGTTCAAGATAAGTATGGTACATGCTACACAAAAAAGTTCCAGAATGTTTTGCGGAATCTAAAAATATAATTACATACAGGCTGTTCCATTTAAAAAACGAAAGTTGATATACGTTACCAGTAAATCTGGCAACATCGCATAACCAAAAATATTTGCATGGATAGTCATTCTACATAAACATCTAATAGGACGTTGAATAAATAAAATAATAAGCATTCTATCTCTCAATATTCGCGTTTGAAATTGATTAGAGGTTCAAACTTTCACATAAAAACTATTAGGCATGCAGGTAAGTATATTATTATTATTTTTAAGCATCAAACTGCATTTTCGAAGTGTTCATTCACCAGACTAGATTAAAATGCCCCAAAAGTATCCTCGGGTTAGTTTCCCTATTAGAATCCAAAAGTGAGGGAATATACAGAGTTTGCCATTTAAAAAACTCAATAAACCGTGTTTCTAGTCCCGTAAAAATTCTTATTTTTAAAACGCCCTTCCAGGAACTCTCTGGAAAGATTCAACCAGTAAGATTTCTTCAAGGGTCCGAATTGCTTCAAAATCAAGGAATTTACTTTTTATTTCTATAACGGTAAAACTATAGCAAAATAAACCTTAAGAAAATCTATTTTGCTTCTTGAGCACAATCTAAACATGAATTGCCATTTAACCTAAGCAAGATATTGCTACGTTTATTCAAAAACGGTCAGCGATAAGCACCTACTCTAACATCTCCTTGTACCTCAAATGTTGGTTACTTATGCGGTGTTGCCAGATATACTCGCAACTTATATCAATTTTCGCTTTTTAAATAAAACGCTAAACCTTTTGATATAATATCTACCATACCCATGTTCAACATTTTCGGAAATAAAAAATACGTTTTAAGAAATTTGGCAACAAGGAGCCCGATATAAAATAATATAATAAATAATAAATCAGTTTCAGTCAAGCTCTGAAGAAGCCAACAGGATGATTGGCGAAACGTCGTCAAGTTCGACTCAGCAAAAATCGACGCAGGAGGAATCCAGAAGTTTTGTAAAAAGTACTGGAGAAACATAATATGCATAATTACAAAATAATTACAATACAATCTCTTCTCCCTCGTGATGCACCAGAGAGCTTTGTAAGATGATATTAGTTACAATACTGATAATTCGAAAACTAGTGAAAATAGATATACCATAGTTCAGTACTTTTAGATGGGAAATTAATTGCTCATTTAAGTGCCAATATAAAATATGGGGTGTTCCGTTTAAAATTCCCACGAAATATGGATTTTTATATCTTGCCAATTATTGCTTATATTTTGAACACTGTGTACGCGATAAGTTAATTCTCATTCTCTATTATGATAAAGCAATCCGAAAGGGAACCGCAACCAAACATTCAAAAAATATTTTCTATCGGGTTGAGAGTATTTTTACCTCCGAAAATGTCCAAGTTAGGTATGGTACATGTTGCATATAAAAAGTTTCAGAATGTTTCGCAGAATTCAAAAATGTAATAATATACATTAAAAAATGAAAATTGATATACGTTACGAGTATATCTGGCAACACCGCATGGCTAAAAATATTTTACACAGGTAGGTCATATCCCCTTACATTAGTAACCGACATTTCAGGATTTTACCGTAAGTCTTTGTCCATAAACGTCTAAGAGGACACTCACACTGAATAGCCCTGTATATATGCATTTACTATCTGTGGTAAACAATCCACCCAATATGAACTTATTTCAAGAGATTGTAGACAACATCGACATCATTTAGAATTTATAACATTTTCTGGTGGCCTATTCAAAATCTAGATACTTCTAAATAGAGAAGAATTTTGTGCTTTTGCGGTTCTACTAAGCAGGTTTTTTAAGCGATTGCAGCTTTGTGCATTGTAGCCATGGAAGCTGGTTACTTTTTGCGCCGTTAGATTTGATTTGAGAGTTCCATTCTTTTTAATGTGAATCCAGTACACGTGGAGGAGTATAAGACCGTTTATGCTAAGGAACCTCCAACAAAAAAGATTAAATTTGTGTATCCAAGTAGAAGGGCATGTTCATTTTTTAAACTGTTCGCTAATATTTTTGTCATGGCTAACTAATATTACAGCGATAGTCTTAGGCAAAAAAAAGGCAAATGTTGGAAAAGTTAAATTAAATCGTAAAATAGTAAGGATAGATATGTGACGTAGTCAGTAAAAGGTTTTTGTAATATCTTTCAGAAAAAAATAAATCACAGGTATAGCAAAAAACTGAAATTCGGCTGTCAAACGGTTATTAGATTGGTCAAAATTGAATAAAAGACATTAAAATTCGCTGAGATTAATTATACTCACTTCGGTGCTGGTACCAAACAAGTAATTCCTGTTCTAACTGTAGGCTTAGAAAGGTCTAGGTAATAGTATATGTTTTCCCACGTATAGAGCGCAGCTAAAATGATCACGCAACAAGCTGACCAAATACTGAATGCAACATTCACTAACCAGCTCCTATATCGGCTCTATCTTCAACCAAATTTCCCATGACTCCGTTGCCGGTCCAGTTGGAATATATTTCTCCCCATTGCTCCACGTTGCTTACTACTGGTACGACAGTCATATTATAGAACATAGCGAACGAGTGCATCGTCATCATTTCCGAACCCATGTACTTATATTCGTGGCTGCTAAGCTGTTCTGAAATATACGTCGCAATTGTAGATGTAGCAGATGTAGTTTTGGTTTCGGATAGTGTCAAATAAGAATGGAAAAAAAATAGAAAGGCAAAATGAACCAAGGTGATTATCGAGCAGAGTCGTAGTTGAGGTGACAACTATGGTTGTTGGCAACCAATGGGGTGTTCGCAGACCTGACGCCATATTTCATTTGCTAAATATTTTGTAATAATACTTTTAACTTAAAAAACTAAAGAAATTAGAACCGTAATTCTATTTCATGCTATTTTGAGCACTGTGATAAAAAGAAAATTTTAAACGCCAATACAAAAGATTTTAGTAACAAATTTATTTTTCCACTGAACATGTTAAAATAACATAAACTTTTATTGTTTATTGGTGTTGGCAACACTTAAGAACGTGGGACACCAAAGATCAAGATGATTCAGCAATACATACTAATGATATTTTTGACAATCATATTTGAATGTTTATTGCAAAGAAAACAACGTTTTCCAGTTCCTGGTTGAATTGTTAGTATTTAGTATTTAGTGTTCCAGCAAATTACTGTCTTCTATTCCTGTTCCATGTTCCATCTTCTATAAAAAGTGGTCTTTTTGTGTTATTGCAAGTTTAAATAAACTAAGCACTTTTATCCGTTGCTCAAATTATCCGTCCTAGAAAACATTTGCCATGTCCCCAACTGTGAAAATTCAATTAAAAACTTGTCATCGTTTAACTTCGCCAAGAAGATTTTATGATAGTATATTTATGGGAATTATAAGTGATGTGGATATCAAACATCTCTGTCATAATCGAGTACTGTTATTGGGCGTTGTATAAGAAATTCCTACCTGCGTTTGGATAATATATATATATATATATATATATATATATATATATATATATATATATATATATATATATATATATATATATATATATATATATATATATATATATATATATATATATATATATATATATATATATATATATATATATATATATATATATATATATATATATATATATATATATATATATATATATATATATATATATATATATATATATATATATATATATATATATATATATATTTGATGACACTATATTCCGGGATATCATCCGTTCGCTCGTTGAACACTGTGTTCGAAGTGTTTTCGGAGCGCGAGCATTGAAGATGCCAAGTGAGATTTTGGCGAAACGTCTGCAGGATTCCAGTCGGATGCAGAATTTGCAGGATTCCAGTCGGAGTTCAACGAGCGAACGGATGATATCCCGGAATATAGTGTCATCACATTTTTCCATCCGTGAATCAATACGTGAGAATATATATATTTATATATATATATATATATATATATATATATATATATATATATATATATATATATATATATATATATATATATATATATATATATATATATATATATATACGTCTAAAAAGTTAATTTAGAAAACATACAGCTTCTTTTTTTACATTACCAACGTTATTTTTTTGTAATTCAATTTCTGTTTGTTATGTTTCGTGGTTCTTTGTTGCAAAATAATTCAAACATTAGCTTTTGTTTTCGAATAAAAATTAAAGAATATAAATAATAAAAATATGTTATTGTTTTAGTTTTTCTTAAATCTATATTTAATCCTCCAGAAGTGTAAGTAGACAATGATCAATTTTTTTACTTCAGAATAAAACCAGGAACTAATTTAAACTTAAATCTCTAAGTGTATTAAACCGTCTTATTCAATATAATCATATCTAAGTTTAAAAAACAAACAGGAAATAAAATGCCCTTTGCTTTGAAAAAGCTTTATATAAAAAAAAAAACATGGACCACTTTTCTTTGTATTATACATTTTTTTTTTGTTTATTTCGGTACTCAACATAGTGTGGAAACATGATTTGCAGAGTAAACTTTTCTTTTTTCTACACGAAAATATAGTAAACCAAACTGGAAAAGGAAAAAAATCAATCAATATGGAATAAAAAAAAGTTCTTTCACAGTATTTGGTAAAACTATTTAAATCTGCTTTTAGTTTCCGGCAATCCGACTTTTAATAACTTTATGTGCTTTAAAAAGGTCAAGAAATGGAGAGAGGGAATACACTAATAAATGACCGAACAATAATGTTACAGCTACAAGCTTCTCGATTTAATATCAATCTGTGGCCAATACTGCAGAAAAGAAGTACTGCAACGAAGTGGAAATGTTGTATAAACAAGTTAGCACAAGTTGGACAGTTTAAAGTCCAATGAAGTCACGACAGCAGTTGGTGAGTTTAACGCTAAAATTGGTTTAGATCTAGTAGGGGAGTATGGCCTGGAGCAAAGCAACGAACGAAGTGACAGAAGAACACAATATGGTATATCAACGTAGGCTATACATTTGGAAAGGCCCTAGCGTCAACCCATCACATTGGTGACATGTATAAGGAAGTAAGGGAGGTCGCTAATATGCTAGTATGAACGAGAAGTATGGAAGAGCTACGTGGAAGAATTGTTTGAGGACGACAGACCAAATGCTCAGAGTTCTTAAATCTGAAGTTCTTCATGCCATAAAAAACAGCTAAAACCAAAGAAGCATCTTGCCCAGATAACATCCCAATGGAGATATTGCAAATGATTCATAAAGACTACATCAGTGTGCTGGTTCATTTTTTTAACTATGTTTTCACTACTGGTGAAATACGCGAGGAATGGCTAAAGAGTTGTTTTCTGGTAAACACTGTTTTCGGAGAAAGGGACCTAAAAATTAATATCACAAGACAAAATTTTTGATGTAGACAGTCGACAACCACACGCCGATGCTTCCCTACAAATAGAGCAAGAAAACCATATGAGAGCTGTGAATTTCAGCCCCAGATAAGGAGATCAAGTGCACGATAGGTAGTACAACTGTTCTACAAATGAGAATATTCCTCTCTAAGGACAATTTGATGGTAGAAAGATATCATGTCTGGAGAATTTTTTTACGGAAGACCGAGACAGAATCCTGCAAATTATAACCAAAGGAAAAATCTAGTGCATTTTAGATTTTGGGACATACATTTCCAACATGTGATTACAACGTACTGAGCCATATCGTTTAATCCTGGTATATTATCAAACTAATTCGCTTAAGTGATTAATTTCTGTGCAGCTTTTACAAGCAGTAGAAACCAACAAGTGCAGCGCGTTCTTTTCATTTGTTCAGAAGAATCTTACCAACTATCGTATATGGCTCGTACTGAAACGTAGCTACTCTGAGTGTTTTCCCCGCCTGGTTTCTCAGTTTGTCTGGAAATAAATTAATTCCTAGCATAAAAGAATTGTTTTTGGAAAACCATTTCTCTATTATATGGGGCACATTGCGTTCGCGACCTCCCTTGTACGGATGCGTCCATACCGTAAAAATTTCATTATCCGATTGGCGAGTGTCAATAGTAATTGCTATAACGTCGCTGACAAAATTAATCTGGCTGGTGTTAAATATTTCCAAAAGAACTTCCGTTTCGGTGGAACTTTGGAGGAATACGTACTTCCGACGGTTATACCTTTCCTTGTTGTATAGTATTTCTTTCTCTAGGACTTCAAATGTAGACGCGGGGTTACGAACTTGGACGATGAAATCGTGACAACCGAAACTACGAAATAATACGTCGCTAATATTTAGGTTGCCGTCCATACTATTTAAGTTGAGTATTGGGGTACGTTTCGTATCGTATAACAAGTTACCATCGGTAACGCATATCAGACATCTTGTGTTTGAAAAATATTGATTGACAATGGCGTTTAGTAGAACAATTAGATTAGAAACCATGACCGATCTAAATTACAACCGCGAGTATATGCACGTGTTTTATTCGCATTTTATGTGAGCACAAAATGGTGCTGAATTATTAAACAATAAAGATAAAAGAGTCACGCGAGAGTGTTTTAAATCAACACCACCAAATTGGTCCCATATCGTTTCAATTCCGATTAAAAGAAAGTCCTTATTTTAACGATAACTTTCCTAGCACGAAAGTTTGTTTACGTGTCGATTGAAGAAAAGCCTCAAAGGTTTATTATCAATGCTAACAGAATTACGTCTGAGACAGTTTCGTATAATGGTTTGCATTTTCACTGATGAGTCAATCTTTAAAATTTGAAATGCGATACGATTATTTTAAGTTGAAACGGAATATTTTCGGACAACTTTGATGTATACCGTTAGCAAAAAATCCAAATTTTAAAGCTTAGGAAAACAAAAAAATTACCATCACTTCCGAATATGCACCATAAACACCAAAATTTGACAATTTGGCTTTTTCTTTTTTGGTAAATGGATAATATAAAATACAAAAAATAAAGGCCACGTTTTGAGCTCTGCAAGATAGAGATGAAAAATTTTAAGTGGGATCTGTCGTTTCAACGAAATCATCAACTTTATCTTTTCATATTGTCCATGAAAAAAAAAGTTTTCAATGTTTTAGCGTAGTAGGCGCTGCCGTGATCAATTAAAAAAAAGATGCACGTTAGTTCATTAAACAAATTACTTAAAAAGAACTTTTTAATTTTTTTATCATACAGAATGTTCAAACAATTAACCATTTTTTTCAGATAACAGATAACAACTTATAAAAATCGATTTTAAAACATTTCTTATAGAGATTTTTTTAGGATCCAATGGCTAGTCATTTTTTTTTAATTTTTTGAATTATTATATACAGTTGTGTATTTTTACATGGCACACCCTGTATAATATGTATTTGTTTTTAAATGATGTCTGTAATAAATATTATATTATGTTTATATGACTTTTGAATGCAAATAAAATGTTATTATTGTTATTGGATGTTTTATTTAATAACTGTATCACAACGTAATTTTATATATTTTACAATTAGTTAGTTTTAGTTCATTATTATTATGTTGTTATCTATTTGCTATATCAAAATTACTTTAAATTTGTTTTTCTAAGAAAAAAAATTAGTCTAATCGTAAATCGAAATTTACAGATCAAGAAACTGATTAAATTCACCCCTTTATATTGAATTATTATATTAATTTCCTTTCAGTGGCATTTCTCAGATCTTCCATTGTAAGTATGATGCTGATTTTTGTAAATTTGATTTCGAAGGTAGCCTCATAAAAAGTTTTCAAGTACTGATAAGTCGGAAGACCTGGATGGATATCTTATGGGACATATTTCCAGATATCTATTTGGTGTGAGATTACTTTTGTAGATACAAAATTTTATCTTACTTGACTTGAGCAGTAAGGACTGCAGACACTGCTAATATAAGCATATAATTTTGCTATCTCTGTTGATATTTTTATTATACGTTTTTGGCCGATCTTTGCCAATAGATCCAAAATTAATTAGGTTGGTTTTAAGCGTACCAAATATTCTTTTATTGGGTTGTCTTCGTTCTGAATACATACATAACACATTTTTAAAAGTTACATAAAAGTAAAACATGCTTTATTATCCATGACTCCGGTGCTTTCATTTCATTAACCAATTAAATGCCTTAATAAAACGGCGCGTTTTTTTATTACGGTCATAGCCTACACTAAAATAATAAGTCAGGACTAAAACTGCAATTTAACAACTAAAATCAAAAGCAAATGATAAAGTGTTATATACAGGATGTTCGGAATTTGAGTTCGGAAACTTAGAGGAAATATTCAACGTGGTAAAATAATGGTAGTAAGACATGTAACAAAAATTCGAAAAAGCTTCCCAAAATTCATTTTTAACGCAGTGGCATTCGTTTTCAACAGAATAAACTGGTATTTTGCACACAGCCCTGATTTAGTAAAAGTCATCCTTACAAATTAAAAGTATTTCAGAAATCTGTCACTAGAGGGCACTTTACCTAGAACATTTTTTTTATTTTCCCAGTATTCTATTTATTTTTTTTTAGACTGATATTGCAAAATAAAACAGATTGCGTTAAGCAGGATCACAAATCCTATGCTCTTATCTCTAATAATTTCTAGATTGAAGATATTAAGCGTTCCATCACAAAAGACACTTCAATTGATCTTCCAAAGACAATGAGCAACTTGGAAGAAGGTTGTGATGTTCCAAATAGTAGAGTAGTGAGAAATTACGGTTTTTGAGTATTAAATTATCAATCTGTCAAAAAAATGGAATTTTGCAAAGCAGGCTTGATGTCAATTTCAACATTTTTTTTTCAATAATCTTAAGTCGCGGCCATTTTTTTCAATATTAAAATTAATATTTCGGAAGTTTATTTCAATTATTTCAACAATGACATTAAAGTCAATGTACTTACCTCATAGCACCTACTTTTTTATTATATAGAATATAGATGAATGAAAAAAAAACTTCATAAATAAATAAAATTATAAGCAGAATTACAATTAATTTAATTATTAATTATAAAATTATGCATACTCTTCTCATATGCAAATGAATATTTCAGCATATTTGCGTAAAATTCTCTGAGTATATCTGTTGTGATTTGTATTTTTATTGGTCGTTACGAATATTCCATGCAAAACCAAAAAGTGTGCCATTAGATGATTCCTAAAATATCCACAGAAGCTTCTCAAGATATTTAGATATCTCGATATACATATTTGTGGCCTATTCGGTAGAAATATTTTGCTGTATGGCTTCTCCAATCATGAACAATAATGACATATATTTCAGACCATGAAACAACAAAAAACTCTTAAATAGTTGCACATGGTGCGACACGACGTATTATTTTACATTATTTATTTAAATTTACCGAAACAGTTTTTAATATTAAGAAATGATCGAACAAAAATTAAAAAAACATTTAAATTCGACCCACCAGGGCGTCATATTTTGTGTAAAAGTTGTCAGCGTGGTGGGGATTAATTTTTACTCGGCCCCTGTATAATTTAAATTCCCTTTTCGTTGGAAATGAAGCCGCTTTCCTAATTAGAGACGGTACATTAGTGGGGAGGTACAATGTTCCGGCAAATATGTCGTGTTACGCATGTATGATGATTTTTTAAACGGAAGGTCAAAATCTACACCAGCCGTTCCCGATTTTTTTATTCATCGTGTACGTATTATTATTTTATTATTATTCTAACAACAAACAGCTATGAGTTGCAAAGTGAATTATGCGCTTGTGCTCGCTGCGTTCGTCCATTGTGCGTTCTGTGATATAGGTAAGTTTTTACTGCCATTAATGATGTTAATAAGAGTGTTAATTATTTGTGCGATTATCGGAAAATTATTGTTCCATCCAAGGAAATGACGTTTCTGATTTGTTGAGTGTGGTCATTTTAGTGCGTAACAAATGGCATTTCTAAAATTCTAATACTGTGTTCCATAATCAAATTAGGTGCACTTAAAATATTTGCAAGTCAAGGAGCATTGAAAATTGCACAAGTTATTTCAAACAATTGAACACACTGTTATTGAAACAGGTTGTTTAGATGTTAATATGAATAAGTGTTTGTTAAAAAATTGTAAATAATTTCGTTATTATTATCCTTCATTGTCCTGTAAATCAATTCAGCAAACTTTTGTCGCAATTCCACCTTATTTGTTAAAATGACTAAGCTTTTTAATTTTTTAGCGAAACACAAATTTAATGTTTGTTGCAACCATATTTAATAACACTTAAGAACTTTATAAATTTTTTTTTAAGTAGCCAAAGCATTGGTACTTATAACAGGCATATTTTCAAATCATTTATTAATTTTTTTTTATAAAAAAACTGTACCTATAGATTATTATTATTAATTATAAAGAGACGACATTTATTATTATTGTCAACTAATGATGGCTTGCCTTTTGATTTTACATTAAATTGCTTCGACAAAGCAGTGCGTGGAGCATCAGAAGATATCTTTATTAGGCGATATTCAGATAAACACAAAAACTGTTACTAGCGTTTTAACTCATTTCAAGGCGAGTGTAAATTCAATAGTAATGAATGTATTGAAGGAAAGAACGAAACTACAATTTGAGTTACGAGTTCAGGACGTTCACAACTAAGGGTTTTCTCTTGCCAAGATTGTAGGTGGTGGTCCGATGAAAATCTGTATTTCGTTATTCATAATCCTGAATTCCGAAGCTAATAATAATCCTTGGATTGAAATAATACAAAAAAATTAAACGTCATTTTATTGGAAACAAACTTTGTATTCAAACTTTTTTCATAACACTTATAGATTTAGACATAAGGCATAGGCCTCTCTTAAACCGGCCACCCTGTATATTACATTTTTTCTTATGAGGATATCTGACACAAGTTTATAGCGATCGACCAATAAATTTGTAGAACTTTAAAATTCAATAAGACTTCATTTACACTGTTAGCGAATATCATCGAACTAGAATATGCGGGATACAGAAACGTCAAGATAATTTATTTTTATTTATTTTGTTTTTTCTGTCTTCTAAATATGTTTCTATTCATAATTTTTTCATTTCTCTATTTTCTTAAATGGTGTACTTGTAATCTTTACAATAATATTTATTTAAAATAAAAATTTTGCTATCTAAATTATAATTTATTAATAGACCTATTGTATTTAGCATGGGATTGATTACTTAAACAGACGGTACTTAAAATTTCTGTTTTGATATTTAGACATAATTTTAATTTCTAAATTTGTGCAATTTTTGTATTTTTTGTCGTTCCCTGTATAATTATGGAACATGCACCAACTTTAGGCGATATTAATATTTTAGTTGGGCAGTTGTCCTATTACAGCCACTTTTTAAAATTACTTTCATATTATAAAAGTTGCTCCCAAAAGTGTGCAATATATATTAGTTGCATTTTTCAAAGAAACTTCCACAAGCTACTGTAATACTTTTTACAAAACTTCTGGATTCCTCCTGCGTCGGTTTTTGGTGAGTCGAAGTTGCTGACGTTTCGCCAATCATCCTGTTGGCTTCTTCAGAGCTTGACTGAAACTGAAACGTCAGCAATTTCGACTCAGCAAAAACCGACGCAAGAGGAATCCAGAAGTTTTGTAAAAAGCCCTCGATGTTATAACATTTCTGGATTCTACTCTTAAAATAAGTGTCCCTTTCATTAAGGTCTTTGATACCTGAAAAAAAAAAGGTTTTTTGAATAATTTCAGTTTACCCTGACAAGTGTACGAAATTTAGATTATGTTTGATATACCGATAATGAAGCACTTCCCTTGTTCTACAGAGTGGTTACAAATTTTTCCTAATAGGGTTAGTGTGTCCTATACTTAACTCCGCGAGTGCTCAGGAAATTATTACTTCTAAATAAAATTTGCATTGCTTATTGACTAGCTTGCGAATTCAAACGTTGTGTAGCTGAACTGATCTACCTTTTAACATTGGTTCTAATTATATTATTAATAGTTAAAAGTTGCGGCACGTTTAAGACCCGAGAAATGTTCAGAAAACTTGAAAAACAATTTATTGTCCAAGCTATAACGACATCTCTCTGATCAAAACTAAGTAAAACTAAATCTATGTAAAGTATTTAAAAAAATGTTTCTAGAATGAGAGCATATCACCCCAACAAAAATGATTCCAATTACAAAAGTATAATTCAACAATACAAAACTGACAGCATAATTTTTTTTTAAAAAGGTAGACCAATTTCACACAGAGAAGAGTAAGAAGACTCATTTTTCTCCACAAAATTGTAGGAAGATATATTAAATCATCTTTAATCTGCATGTTTCAAAATTCACTCTAGCAGAACTAATGGTTTATAAGTTGAGAGGAAATAATTCAACAATCCTCGTGACGTTAAACTTAAAAAAAAATAACCATCTCAGTCTTGAAGGGAACATATTTTATTAAAAAAAGCTTGAAACACATTTTTATTTCAATCGGCTAATTGAATCCAAAAGTGCCATAATATACAACATGGATACTTTCAACACCTTCGAGACAATCTGTATAAGACTTGAAAATCTTATATACATATGTAGCTTTCTAATATGCCATTAGCAGCCATTCAATTTTGTTCATAATTGACAGAAAATATTAGTAAAAAAAATTTCCAATGCTACACTTACAAGTTGTACGGGAAAATGGAAGAGTCCATATTTGAAAGAGAATTTCTAAAATATTTTATATTTTTAAAGAAATCAATCTTTCTTTCTTTGAAAAATATTCAGTAATAAAATTATCTCGAAACACAAAATGCATTTGGATGCTCGAGTTTTATGGAATTCCGCTAGAATTCTTCGGAATTTCTTGAAATTTCACCGCTGTTTATCACTCATGTCAGTGGCGGCTAGTGGGAACAATTTTATTGTGTTTTGAAATTCTTTCAAAAAAACTTCGATATATTTAAAATACAAAAAAGTATTATTAAAGATGTTTTATTATTAAACTCTTTAGTCACCCGTAGAATAAATCCAAGACTGTTTAGAGCCTTTTGAGCAATGTTTTCTACGTGCAACTCAAAAAGAAACCCCGAATCCAATGTAATACCCAGGTCCTCTACAGAGTCCGAAAAGTTGAGTTTGTAGTTACCTAAGTAGAGATCACTTTTAATTTGCAATTGTGGTATTTTTTTTTTGTAAACAAAATATAGTGACATTTCTCAGAGTTAACAAGCACAATTTTATTGAGCCCCAATATAGGTTGACCCTAATAGCGCAATTTCCGTACAACTATGAACGTGGCTTTAGAATTTTCATGTCTTTTAGGTTTCAATCCTAAATGGTCGTCGATCCCTGTGTCCATCCAAGCTTTATCGCCATTAAGAAGTAAGCAAGGAAAACAATATTGAGTATTTTTTTGTTACATCCACAAATCCATAAATTTTTTGATAACTGTAGTTTCTAATTTCCGTGTATACCTTTTTCTTCTACTTACGCCAGCTTTTTGCATGGTAATATCTGGTAATAGCCGACCTCGTGCCTTTCTTAGTATGAATATAATATGAAAAATCTCTTCGCATTAAGTAAATTAAAGACTACCTCCATACTTCAAAGTGAACATAAGTTGTCGTTGTTATTTACCACACTTGTTGCATAATATACTATTATTGAGGATAAAAGAAAATATTTTGGTTAGACTAGTTCATTATGTTTTTTTTGTAAGTTCTTTAAAGATACGTTTTCGGATTTTGTTGTAAAGAAAAGAAAAACAAAACTCAACTATTGGTCGTGCATACGTGATTTCAGTGTATAAATAATTACAACGTTGGTAAATGTTGGAAACCATGAATCGAAAAACTTCCTAAATCGCCGCCACTGGCGGGAATCAACGACGCGCGACAAATTCGAAACACACTTCGCAAAAATTACGGCCGCACAAATCGAATTAATTAACTAATAAGAATACAAAATTGTACAGGATGTTGTCCGTTAAGGAAAATCTGTTTTTGCCGCGAAGGTTATTACTAATAAAATCGTCTCGAAAGTAATTATTATTTCACAGTCGTGTGCATCATTTAGACAATGGCGATGCAACAATATTTCATGGTTCGCCTCGATCGACGATGCCCATAATAAGATTAAGAGTTTTTTTGTCATTGTCCAGCGAATAGCAATAAACAAAAATAATTATTACGAATTGTTTGGAAAAGCGATTAATCAGGACCTTGGGGTTATTGGAGATGCTACGAGACAATCGTAAACAAAAAAAAGGCAAACGGATGTAGTTCGTTGTTTTTTGTGATTTTTTTTTGGTAGTTGGTCTGCCAGTGATCCATTAGAATTTTCAGGACTTAGGTTAGACCCGGAACAAATTATCTTAAAGCTGCAAATTGGAGTAGTACTTGTTAGGGTACTATTTAACAAACTAAAAGTCTGCACCCCTAGGGCAAAGTTTTCAAAAACCACCCTAAAGGTACATTTTTTTACTTTTTGACGAATATTATTTTGTAGTTTTATGGAAAAAGACAGGTTAACAAATTTAAGACAATAAAATTCCCGTCAAAACTATACATAAGAAGTTCGGCCATTGCCGTCCCACAGGGGGTTGAAATACAACTGTAACTGCAGTGCATTGTGATCGTCTGCACGGTGTTTTTTTTTTCAATCTCGTCAATTTTAGCTTTCAACTCATCGCGTGTACTGTAGCTATCGCATCGTGGATACCCAAAAGCGATATTAAACTTGGTGTTGAATATTTCTCTATATTTTTCAGAAGAAACTAATTTATTAGCATATATTCTTTGCACATAGAGTACATTTTCTTAATATTAAGCTCAGCAGGTAAATAAACCTTTACTGTTTTAGCCAAGCTACAGTGAGACTTTCTACTCTGAAAACATCTAAAATATTTCGCTAAAAAGTCGTTTAGGTCTGGAAGATTGCTTTCCTCGCATATCTAATCTCGCTGAATCCTTTGATATCAATCCGCTTTGTACAGTTTGTAGCCTTTTTGCAGTAATGCTATGTAAGGCACAAAAAGCGTTATAGCACACTGGAATTTCACCAAGTTCATTGTTTTTTAACAATCTCACCTTATAAGTAAACGAAAATGAATGAAAATCAGGTTCATCTTCAGATTTCCTGTGACGATGGCGTGTTACAGTTTTGCACGTCATTAAACCACTTAGATAAAGCGACTGTTCATCATAACTTTGCAGTTGATTAAATTTAAACACGATCGTGCTTAAATCGGTTTGCAATGAGATTTTGGAAACAATTAAGTTTTGAACATTTGCAGTCTTGTCCAGTTCTATTTTCTTTTTATTGTTGTTTGTTCTTCAGCCATTATTCAACAACAAGAAATACCCCACAAAACTTTAAAAACGGAATAGTCAATAATTACACCAATAAACTTCAAATAGCACGAAGTTGCCATTTCCTATGGACTGTCATCTTTCTTGCACACAAACTCTGGTACCTTCATCTTTTTTGCCCACTACTATACATTTTAAATTCTGTTTATTTTTGTACTGTCATCTTTCTAGCCATTTCTTATACGTGGATACTATTCTATAGTCGATATATTATCCGAAACAACCGTTAGTCTTATTTGGGCAAAAAATGGACCCTCATCTTTTTTCTCCTGACGTTTCAAATGTTGTCTTCGATTCATGCAGTTTTGACTGGTCCATCTTTATGCAATATGGATCAGGTGGTGTCAATGTTAACGGAGCGCCGACAAATAAACTCAGATACCCAGATTGTAGTGTGTTATTGGCTGAAATTTTGAAAGACCTGCGGGATCTTTTTGATACAGTAGTATCATCAAGTATTCTTCAAAATGAGAACATTTCTGTCTAACGCTAATCTTTCCATCGAACTCCGGAAAATATTGTTGAAATATTATGTGTTTAGTGTTTTTTATACGAAATGGAGACTGTCTAAGGCTATTCAAACTAATGACAGCCTTCGAAATGTAGACGTATAGGCGAGTCGTGAGGATTCCGTGAACAGATAAAATCAAAAACGAGGAAGAATTACGCCATATGAACGCACAAACCGAACTCACCCGCACAATCAATAGAAGAAAACTGGAATATTTTGATCACAAATACGAATTACTGCAGCTCATCGTGCAGGGTAGAATAGAAGGAAAAGGAAGAAAGAAAAAAAAAAGAACACCCGTAAGTGGTGCAACAAAACATCAGTTTCGATAAGCGGTTTCCAAATGGAAGAATGCCATTTTGTTCGCCAACCAAGAAGAAAAGAAAAGAAGAAGAAAAGTGAATTGGTCAAATTCAGATTAAAATACAGTGATTGAACTGAGGCGATGAAAATCCATTTATCAAAATAAATAAGAACTGAAAGTTCAGATTTTCACGAAATTATTTATTTTGACATGACAATTGTGACATTTGATAAAGACACGGTGTTGTGGAAACAATTGTCATGTCAAAATATATAATTTCGTGAAAATCTGAACTGGATAGATGAGTCTAACAAAGAAAACTATTTTGAAATCTGCATTTTTCAGCAGTGATCTCGATTATATTCGCGTATTGATTTACGGATGGAAAAATATTGATATTGATTGATATTGATTATTGGTTTCGTTTTTCTAAGCATTGCACGATAGGGACTTTGTTTAGATTGATAATAAATTTGCTTATTTCCATATTTCGATGTAATGTTTTTATTTAGCCAACGGTACAGCTTATAAAAATGACGCGAAACCTTGAAGATGAACAACGATATGAATAATTAATCTGTTTTTTTAAATGCAAAGATTATTACCTTGTATTCTCATGTTAAATAAAGTTCTGTACATTATTTAAGACTGCGTTTTAAAAGAATTTTCCCCTCTACTAGTTCCTTGCTCTGATTGTACAACAAAAACGAACGTGCTTCTAATTCCCAATGGGGAGCAGCATTGACCAAAATCTCTGGTAGCCGTAAATCACAGATTATTTTCGATGTTCTTTGGGAATTTCAGACACGTTTCACTAAATGCCATCTAATAATATATGAGGATACATTTCTTTGTTTCGAAATAAACGCCAATTAAGGACTTGACCTAAAAACCCTGCGGGGTTATAAAGATTACGCTGTCTCACAATCAAAACATTTCACGTAGAAAAACATTTTGAAAGAGCCTAATCAAAAAATAATAATTGTTTTGAAGCATCATCCTATACAAAAGAAACTAGATTTGATATAGCGCTTCCAAGTATCTAATTTTTTTTTCACATCGTATTGCTTGCAGTGCGATTTTGCCTCTGCAAGTAGTATTCACACACGGTCGGAATTATTAACGTTTTTTGTGTAAACAAAACCTTGGCCGCGGAGCATCAATGTCAAGGACGAGTTCAAGTTGGTAATGTGTGTATTTTGCAATGAGTAAATCCTTAAAGAAAATATTACGTATGCAAAATTAAATAACGTACGTGTTTGAATTAAATTTAATATTGGAAAATTGCGTGTAGCAATGTTCCTCTGAAAATGACATCAAAACATAAGACAGAAAAATTTGCCTTGTACGTTTTTTTTGCTCGTTGCGTTCTGAAGAGAAATATCGGTATTCTTATTTTAAAGTTACCAAAGTTCAAACAATTAAATAAGGAAGTAATTAAAAAATGAACAGTGACATGTAACAGGTGACATGTTCGCAACTTTTTTTTGCATTCCGTGAAAATTCGAAAATAAGTTTTAAAAAATGCGGTTGTTGTATATATATTTACATATACAATCCGGAAATATTTTTTCATAATAAAATGTATGAATTGGATGGTTCTTGTAGCTCAATGTAAGGTTCACTTTAATTCTTATTCATTCAAAAATAATTTTTGCCAGATGTTTCCAAAGAAATTAGAAAAATGTATGGGGTCTTAAGAAACGCAAAATTTATAAATTAAAGTAAAGAAAGGAAAGACTTTCTTCACAAAATACTCTAGCTTTGTTTCATTTCTAATCGATACCGAAGAAGAAGAAGAATTTTAAGAAGAAGAAGAATAATTTTTGTTTTATTAACCACATATTGTACCATATTAATACAATTGCAGCCTGTCTGTATGTATAAAGGTGTAAAAAAAAACGTGTTTTATAAATAAGGGAATAGTTAACAATAACAAATGTAAACAACACTAACACGGAATATAAAAATAGTACAGTGCAAGATAGTATGCTATGATCTTCACACATTTCAGTAGGCCAAGGATTTTAATTTGGTTTTTTTATTTTGATGGAATACTCGTCCACACTATAGAAACAATTTTCAATAAGCAACACTTTAATATTTGTTTTGAACACCTCAAAAGCCATATAGCAAAAATTCTTATGGCCCTTTTCTGTATCCTGAATATTTGTACAGCATTGAAGTTTCTCCATAATATTGTGCCATATGATATGTGGTAATGAAATAAAGCATAATACACCGTCGATACGTAGATACAGGGTGACAAAGGAAAATGTCCATTTTTGAAAAACCACAACGTTTTCCTTATCATAGGAGCGGAAATTTTAAAATTTTCAAGATGTGGGTACAAATTTAGGTTAACTATGTTGCGTGCGGTCAATTTTTGTTTTTCTTATGGGCGCCCTATTAAATTTATTCATATTCAAAATCCTGTTTAAAAATTCTTTTCAACCATGTGTATATTTGGTCAAGACATAGCTACTAGATATACAGAGGCCTTGCCTATGCTGAAAGTACAGGAACTCATGGAGCAACTGTGTAAAAAAAAATGAAAAGGTTAAAATTTCGTTTTTAACCAATTGTAGTTCTAATGACAAATTTTTGTATACCGGCGTATAGTTAGTTTTCATAAACTCTTAAGTTTAATTTCTATTGAAATAATTTTTGAGATGCTAGTATCGAACAGGAAATATCTAAGTAAAAAATGTACAAGAAACAGCTAGACAGTAATTGACAAGGGATATTTTTTATGCTTGTTCTAGTATAAATTAAACTTGTAGCTTAATTGTTTCTTACATTTCCTGCAATTCTTATACACTAAAACATATTACCCAGACATCCTTCGTAGCCATTTAAGTGTACCTAAGAATGTAAGGAATTCTGAATTCTGACATGTAAATATTTGTGTAAGTCTACTACTAAATCATATTAGTTCTTCATATTTGCCACATTTGCTGTAATTTCTTGAAAGACCAAAGCATTGAAAGCACAAATTATACAAGTTTGTGAGTACGGTACAGACACCAAAAATGAAAACAACAATGGCGCAGGGCACAGACTGTTCTGCGACAATACTCAACCCGGCGTTGCCAATTATGTTCAAATTTCAGTGTAACCTTTACGTCAGATTAGTGTTTTAAAGGTCCATAACGCGATACAGATTGTGCCAGTGATTTATTCAGAAAAATAACGAGATACAAAAGTTTTTCTTATTACTCCTTTGGTCTGATGAGTGCCGATTTACTAATTGTGGGATCTTTAATCGTAAGAACACTATATTTTAGCTAGCCAGAGTGAGGTGCAGATTTGGTTTGGTATTATGGGTATGGTCTGTTCATGGACATAAGAAAGTGACCAATTGCTTTTGAACGGATTATCCAAGGGTGCTCATTAACATACAATGCAACAAGTTTATTAATATTAATTAAGGTAATTATTAATTAATTAATTATTAATTATATAATAATTATAATATTTTTGCATTGTATGTTAATGACCACCCTTGGATAATCCGTTCACATTCTTATATCTATGAGCAGACCATACCCATTAAATTTCGCCATAGTTTTTAGATAATAACTTAAATTCTCAGATGTATTTAGATGTATTTAAACCTTGAACAGGCAAACGTCACGGAAAACCTTCTACTCTCCAACAAACGTTTTTTCAACAAATCTGCGCACCGCCAAAGAATGCACAGATTATTACGAGCTTTTTAAAAGCAGAATTTCCCACAAGTGGATAGGTAACCTGGGACCAGTCATATGGTCCGCAAGATCCCAGATATAACACCACTTGATTTCCTGGTATGGGGTTACCTCGAAAATCGAGTATACAGTACGAGAATTAAAAGAATCTGTCAGAAGAGCTGTCAAAAGTATTACTGCGCAATTGTATTTTCTTTCTTTTTTTTTGTGCGTTAAAGAAAATTTTACTGACTTCTCTTCTCGTGTTTTAAAATTGAATCAAAGCCCTGAAATCTTATTTTTGTTATTTTTCTTGGTTAAACTTGACCAAATATAAATGTGTTTCACAGGGTTGAAAAGCATATTTAAAAAGGAATTTTGGGAATGTAGAGCTTTAATATGGCGCCCATAAGGAAAACGAAAGTTGCCCATGTTGTCATAGTAGGCGTAAACTTTTTGTAGTTGTTTTGCATCGCCGTATCCTTTTACACATATCCTGAAAATTTGAATATTTCAGCTCCTAAAATAAAGAAAATATTGTGGTTTTTCAAAAATGAACATTTTCCTTTTCACCCTGTATCTAAGTAAGTGTAAGTTAAATACACCATTTTGTACTGGACACCTGTTACTAGACATCTGTAACAAAACGAACACCCAGATATCAATATAAAAAAGAGAGCCACTGTTGTGCAAAGTCAGTGTCTCATGCTTAAATGAGATTTGGAGCAATATGTAGGCATTTAAACTGGAAGCAGCTTTCTTCGAAATAAACAATTCAAGACTTACATATTCGTACACTAATTTATGAACTATTACTTTCAGGTAATTTGAAAGCGAGGGACCCCTTAGATGAACTGAACGAAGTAGAAACAGGGTACAGGGAGAAAAGGGCAATATGTCCTCCGAACAGCCAGTGCATTCCACTATCGGCTTGTCCGATCCTCACAACTGTCTTGAGCAACGAATGCGTTTTAACTAATCGGTGAGTTGAGAAAGGATATTCGATAAAATATAAGTATACAAGAACGTCCATTTTGCAGGATAGGAGAATTGGGTTGCGGGTATCAGGGTTCGGGACTGGTTTGCTGTCCACAAGCCGACGGTTCATCTAAAGTGTCCTCTCCAGGTAAATTCGTGGATGGACAGAGGTGTGGACAATCCCAAGTCGAAGGAGACGGGTATGACGGGATCGGAGCCTATCCGTGGGTGGCACGTATAGGATTTAGAAGTAATTAAACAATTTGAATTTTTTTTATTTCGAAATATAGGACAATATCATTTAATATTGACAACTATAGCAGAGAATAAATAAATAAATATATACAACTCAAACATAAGCAAGAAAAGAGCTGAACATCAAGGTGTTAAAATTTACCCTGGATCAAATATTGACTTCTACCATACTCCTGTGGTTGGCAAACTTGAAAGTTGACTTAAGAATATCCAAAGAAAAAAACGGCCAAGACCTAATTTTGAAAAATTGAGAGAACCCGAAAGAAAAGAAGATATAACTCCTTGTTTAATACAAGAACCTTAAACAAACTGGACAAACAATAACAACTGAATCAATAGAAGACTCCTGGTGCTCCTTCAAAAACGTAATAAACGGAGCATAACAAAGCGGACTGAGAACTCAGTAAGAATAAGTCAAACAAGAATTGAAGGCTGAGGAAATCTTGTTACTGATGGAAGACAGCAACAGATACAAAGCAGCAAAGGAAAAACGATGCGACGAGCCCGAAGAATTACAAAATAAACATTGACATATTCAATAAACACAACAAATAAAAGATGTTTTAGGAACTAAAAACAAAACACACCAGTCGAGTATCTTAGTCACAGGCAATAACAAGCAAATGATGGACTAAGAAGAAATAGAACCAATACGGACGAACTATGTACAGGAACTTTTTGAAGATGACGCAACAGATCCAGATCAAATACGCGACCAACCAATGGAAATTCTGCTGTCGGAGGTGAAACATGCATATCTACACCGAGATGTTTAACCTGTTGGATACATAAAAACAACTGGGCAAACAGATATTCACAATACCGATTGACGAGTTTAATAACTATAGTTCTGTGAGACACAAACCTGCAAACTGCAAACCTGAAGAGATCAATCACGAGATGTATATCTCTCCTTTATGGACTACTAAGGACTAAGGACAGAGTAAGGCATACAACGATGTTTGACCTACTATACGAACAAAGAGTGAATCAAAATGTCATCAATATCATAAAGAAAACAAACTAACAAACAGTATTCATATAAAAAAAAGGCAGGGCAACATATATTCAGAAGAGATTTGTCAAAAGCTCTTGAAAACATCCAAGAAGCCATAAAGGTAATACCATTATATTAACGGTCAACAGGGGCTCCAGAAACTTGTAAATGCAATAACAAGGGGAAAACAAAAACGATGGTCATTTCCAGAAATAATAATGTGCCAAAAGTACATTTCTTAAAATGAAGAGACTTCCTACAAATTCCACGATATTACTAAATATCAGATGCCAATTTGTGAAAGCCGATTGTATTGTATGGAATTGAATCCTGGACGCTCAAATTTTTCCCGATACAACGACTTGAAGCCTTTGAAATTTGGGTAATGCGTGGAATGCTCAAGATATCGTGAGAGATATTAAGAAGAATGAATGCTGACTGTGAAATTCTTGGAATTATCAAAAAACGCCAGATAAGTTAATTAGGGGATATATCGAGGCATCGAAGAGACGGTGCTCATGGCCAAGGGATTGGACTGATCTGGATTAGCAGTCACTACTAAGAGTAACACAGGATAGAGAGCGAAGTTGTTGCTAATCGTCTTAAGAAGAAGATAAAGAAGTTATTAAAATTTCATCAGCTTCCTGAACGTTAACGAGTCAGTTCCCGTTCTCATCAATAAAAGAATCTGTTTTTTGTTGCCTCCTGAAGAATGCGAATTGTTTGTTATGATTTTCCTAGCTCTTTGGGAAACATTATTTGAACCAGAGACCGAATCAGAGTAATAAGATCACTTTGAATTTTTATTTTATTTAAGTTTTCCTCCAAAACCCATTAAATTTTTTTCAGACGTACTGACCGGCGAAGTGAAATTCCCATGCACGGGATCCATCATCAACAACAAAGTCGTACTCACGGCCGCGCACTGCGCATTAGCGAAAGCTGATAATTATAAGCTGTAAGTGGTTGGTAATTTTGGTTAGCATCGATTTAATGCAACCGAGTTACTTCAAGGTACATAGTGCGGGTGGGAGAATGGATGGCCAATTCGGATATAGACTGCGGGGATGAATTCTGCGGGTTGCCTGTACAAGATATCGCGATAAGTCACGTGGTGGTTCATCCAGGATACGAGAAGCAAACGTATAAACATAATATAGCATTGTTGGTGCTCAGAAACAAACTGAATTATACCGGTGAGTGTTTGTAGAATCTAATTTATGAAAGATAAGCTAGTTGCATACAGCGAAGGTTAGTTGTAGTATCAAATGGATCAAAAATTGGTTTCGTAAAAAGATATAATTACTCAACCTAATAATGGATGATGACTAAGAAATTTAACTTGAAATTTAATATATGAGAGGTTAATTGCAACATTAACATTTTATAAGTTTGCTACAATAATAAACCTATCATCGCTTAAAAATTGTTTACTTGGGTTCGACATTTTGTTTATTTTTGTTTTGCTGTTAATAGACTGATCCAATAAACAGAACTGAATAGGCACATACGCGCTCAGGTCTGTCTATTAATGGTTATCTGGCAGCTACACGTGTGGTTTGCACAGTAAACGATGCTAAAAGTGTCTATGGAGAATTTAAAAGCAAAAACAAACCAGGAAAAAAAAGAATTCTTTTGTAATGTGTTTGATAAGCGAAACTAAAGGAAATGGAATCTAGTTAAGTATACCGATGCGAAGTTGGCAACTAAAAGTTGGCAGCCAACGTCACGGAAATAAGAAATAAAATATTCGTTTGAAATATTAAAAAAGTCCAAAATAAGTTTCTGAGGTAATTGCTATTAGCGTGAAGCCGGTGTGCACCAAATGCACATACCAAAGACAGACATTATTGAATCATACAATTTTCATTCTCTTCAAGAGTGGAGAAATGTATCTCCAATATATTTTTTAAATTTTTAATAATTATTTTTAATACCCCCAAATTATGAGACTGAATTGATATTTATGTTCTAGCGTATTAATTTTTACGTAGATAATTCCCACACTAACTAATATAATACTTGAATGTGATTTATGACATATATCGTCAGTTAGTAAGCTTATTACCACCCATCAATCCTCCCCAATCATTTGTCGACCTACGATATAGTTCATTTCATTACATAATTGTGTTTGTTTATGTATAGCCTGGTGTAGTTGAGTATGATATGCATCAAAACGTTGCTGGTTTTTGATTTCTCTTCTTTTTTATAGTCCACACTCCCTGTTTCGATAAAACGCTCTAGCAGTCTACTAAAGCTTCAGTAAAGTTCACTATTTCCCAACATAAATATCATATAAATTAACTCTTCCCTCGAAAAATTGATACACCAGAAAAAAACTAAATAAGTTAAAAAAATATTACAAGAAACTGAATATGTCAAACTTACAATACACTTCACTAGTTTAATAAGGATAGTCATGGTAGAATTTTAATACATTCATAATAACAAAATATGCTTGTAATTATATATGTATTAAATAAAACACAGGGTGTGCCATTTAAAGATACTAAAAAACTTATTTGGAAATTTCTCTTTTTCTAACCAAATTTTGAACAACCTGTATAATATAAGAAACACCTATTTAGTGTGAGAGTATTATTAAACCTCTAGCATTACTCTTCACATTATTTAGCTGAAACAGAACAGATCAAACAATTTTTTTTTTCTAATTGCCAAACGATCTTTTCTTTTTTTTTTAATTTATTGCTCCTGAAATATTGATCAAGTAAAAAAAAATTCGTTAATAAGACGGAACATCAAAATGAACCTCAATCTGCAATTTAAAAGATGTATGTATATGTATATATGTATAAAACCTCCATCTAATGACTTTTTATTAAACTGTTTTCTCTATTGTTCTAAATAAGGACGCCATGGTGGCCTGACGCACTAATGCAGGACCCTGTACAACTTTTCAACTAGAAACCAATTCTGCCTTCGGAATTGGTATACAGGGCCAGGTCAAAAAGTTATCGGACCATACTTTACTTATTTAAATGTACATTGTACAATTACATTATTGACTACAAAATTCCTCTTTTTCCACTTTTTCAAAAATATGTAGTAGTATTCATTTTTTCTCAGAAACAAGCTGTTGATAATGAAATAAATAAATAAGTTACAAATTTTGAAAATTAAATGCCTAACTTAACAAAATTACATAGTACGTTTTTGGATGGCTTGTTTCTACTTCAGTCAGGGATGGAACCCTGACCCTTCTACGAAATTTGTCGTTTGAACAAGATTCCTTCAATAAGAGACTACAAATGCTCGGACATGCTTTTAGTTTTTGTATTTGACTTTGCGCTAGTGAAACTGGGTGCTAACTTAGGATTCACCAAAACCTAGTTTTGTTTCGCTATTTTCATTGCGTAACGGCAGTTTTAGACCTTTCTGGGAGCAGAAGCAAAAGAGCTATTTGATTTTGTTATCATTTTCCAAACAAGTAGATAGATGCAAATGCAGAAAATGATGTTGGTTAAGATTTTCAGATTTGTCCAAAAACTATCAACTATCATCTGCAGAGTCTTTCATTAGAGAATTCTTGATCAAACGACAAATTTAATTGGAGACAAACAACACAGCGATTTTTGGATCCACTGTAAGCATTTTATTTACTTTCTTCTGGTTTGACTGACACTTCATACATCTTTGAGTGATACATGTTCGTCCATATTGGAAAATTTAGAAGAAAATGGATGTAACGGTCACAGGAACGTGAAATATAATTGTCATTCATATAAATTCAGTGTAACAAATCGATGGAAATAATTTATAATTTAGAGTTGTTATCTGGTCAGGCGAATGCCTTTTTCAAAGTGCTTTCAGTCACAATACCAGAATGTAATGTAGTGAAAATCAGCATTTAATGTTTGAAAAGGCACAACAAGGACACATTAATTATGGTTTATGGGAATTTTGAGCAGGATTTGGCAGCATGTAGATACCTAGAAACCTGTGACGAAGTTATTCCAGAACTGCTGAAAAATATTCCAATGATCCAAAGCAATGCTGTTTACCCACAGGAAATTTCTTAATAATAACTATCCTCAAAGATGGATGCGAGCCTGTTAGATAACTTCTAAGATCTCCGCATCTCTCAATTTTAGATTTTTTTAATGGGGTTATGTATAAAATGAAGTATATAAAACACACTAGGACAGCATAGCAACGATTCTGTTTAACGCTATTCAAAGGATTATAAAAACGCCGTCAATTTGAATATTGGCTTCAAACATTTATTTCTTTCTTTTTTTTTAAATGTAGTTTTCTGTGTTACGTTGTTTGCTTACGCCACAAAATGGTTGTTGTAAACTTACTGTTATTAAAAACAAGAAAACCGCAATTGCTTGTAATTTTTGTTTATGATTTGATTTTGACATTTTTTTTGTTGGATAGATCTCTCAAAATTGCACCAGAACCTTATTTTTCTTACTGCTTCAAAAAGAGGGAAGAGAGAAGTACTATCAGCGATTTTCAAAAAGATTAATTAGCAACAAATTGTTATTCAAAAATATAAAACGTTTTGAGCAGAAGTGGACTGTCGATAAACACGGCAATCGCGTTGTTGTAAAGCAAATAATTCTTGATTATTTACTATCGCAATCCTCGATTCAGTAATAGGAGCGTAAGTGTAAACTTAAATAATTTTTAAAAACTGCATCTGGAAAAAGAAAATAGGAATGGAGTTTTACGAATGGTTTAATTTTACTTAACTGAACAGATATATATGCTAAAACGAATGTCAAGAAGTGTATATAATCTATTTTTCGCTTTTGAGTAGACCCGTCAACTTCATATTATTAAATATGGCGCTTCTGTTTTCTCCCATTAATTAGAATGCTTTCTACATCCTAAAATTGAAAATGTTTCTCATGTAGGTATTTGAAAATCTTACCTTATCTACACTAAATTTTGAATACTATATACTTATTAATGCCGTTGAAATCATTATTTTGGATATATATATATATATATATATATATATATATATATATATATATATATATATATACAGGGTTTTTCACTTAAAACTCCGCACGCCAATAAGTCCAAAACGAAAAGAAATATTTAATTTATGTAAAAAGTAGTCAAAGTGTGGGGTCAAGTAGATATTTCCTAAAGTTTAAAAAATTCGACGCCTGCAAAGAGCTGGGCGTCGCGACGCGTCGAAAAATTATTCGATGGCAGAGACTTTGGAAATACGCGCATACAAAAGTACATATTATTTAAAAACTTTTTTGTTATTTACTCAAACTTATTTACTTTACGCGTTTCTAAGTTATACCGATTTAAAGTAAACATTTCTTGATTAATAAAAAATGTGATTAACGCTTATTTTTACAAGTATGCCATGAATGTTAGTTACTATGACAACCATTGTTATCGCAGTTGTTTTAAGTGCAATTACAAACAATAGATTTCAACTATTTTAGTATGATTTTATTTATTATTTTTTATCGATTTAGTTCTGATAACATGATAAATAAATGAAAAAACAGTAAAATACCTACAAGTTAATAACCAAAATTATTATTGCAATTAACTACATAATAAGACATTTCAAAAATTTTGTTCAAAATTATGTCCATCTGCTCGAACACAACTATCAAAAACTTTTAACAGATGAGCTTGGGTCACTCGTAGGAGAGTCCTTCTTGTGATAGCGGCACACGCTGCACAAATTTTGTTAATGAGATCAGCCATATCTTCGATAGATTCTTCATAGATAACGTTTTTTAGGTAGCCCCAAAGAAAATAATCTGGTGGTGTAATGTCCGGGGACCTCGCCGGCCACCTTACCGGTCCATTAGTACCAAACCATCTATTTGGGATATTCTCGGTTCAAATACCTCGTTACTATTTGGGTATTATGTGCAGGCGCTCCATCCTGCTGTAGCCACATATTCATTCTAGTGTCAAGAGGCACTTCTTCTAATAGTTCCGGAAGTGTAGTTTGAAGAAATCTTTACTTTAAATCGGTATAACTTAGAAACGGGTAAAGTAAATAAGTTTGAGTAAATAACAAAAAAGTTTTTAAATAATATGTACTTTTGTATGCGTGTATTTCCAAAGTCTCTGCCATCGAATAATTTTTCGACGCGTCGCGACGCCCAGCTCTTTGCAGGCGTCGAATTTTTTAAACTTTAGGAAATATCTACTTGACCCCACACTTTGACTACTTTTTACATAAATTAAATATTTCTTTTCGTTTTGGACTTATTGGCGTGCGGAGTTTTAAGTGAAAAACCCTGTATATATATATATATATATATATATATATATATATATATATATATATATATATATATATATATATATATATATATATATATATATATATATATATATATATATATATATATATATATATATATATATATATATATATATATATATATATATATATATATATATATATATATATATATATATATATATATATATATATATAATCTGTAGAATCTCAAAATCACCACCAAAATATTCGTCATTTTCATCGTAAACATTTATTTTTTAAAACATTAAAAACTTCGGTCATTGGTTTAGTTACTATTGGTATTTTGAATTCGAAAAATTCTCTAAAAGTACTTCTCTATGATGACTATATGAAAAACGTTTCAGTGCCTCTTAGTAAGATCTATCGAAATAAAAAATATTATCAAAATTGAGTCTTAAATATTCTATTGGAGTAGTGTTATTATTTCCAGCTTCATAGTTAGGTTTGAAGTAATCCCGAATAAGAATATGTTGCAATTTTTTTTTAATCCCTATTTTATTAAATAATCAAAGCAAGGTTTTAGCGTATTTTTGGTACGGGTACCAATCTTTAAAGTCAAAGTTAAAAGTTATTAATGAATCTTAAAAAATGGAACAATTTCTAACCAAGTTAAGTTACTATAAATCTTAAAATTGACGTCAACATTATATACTGTGATTTTTCAGAGACCCCTTATGTGTAAATTAACTATTGTGGTAAAAACAGGCATTAGTATTATAACAATTAAAGTATTCGGAAGTTCCTAGGTAAATGGGGATCACACACTGTCGCTACATAAACACGATTCGTGTTAGTTCAAGCGAAAATACAGTTGGTTCGATTATTTATTATATCCTCTGTTTTTTAGTGACCGCTCAGCCGATCTGTTTACCGGAATCGTGGTCGGTAACAAACAATAATGGAATTCTGGTCGGATGGGGAAAGACTGCCGGCCAGAGAGGTAAGTGAAAGCTATTAGAAAAATTTTCAGGATACGTGGGAAAAGCTAAATAAGTGCAAAAATTGATTGATAAATAATTTAATTGCACTATAAGTGTTTATGAAGTTCCTTAGACATCTCGAGCCTTGAGCCATATACCGTGTGTCCCACTTCAGAACTGTACATTCATGTAAAATCTTTGTTTACGGTTTGATTTTGATATGTTTTATTGTTGGACCAAAAAATAGCGCAGTGGGCCATGACTGCAGGTTGATACAATGAGGGACAATTTTGGGAGATCTATCCAATAAAAGCAGCTATCAAAATAGAGCAATAACACAAAGCACAAGCACAAAGATGTGCAGTTCATACGGCACTGACTCATTTGGATTTGGGAAAAGAACCAGGACAGTAGGAATTTAGTGGTTTTAAAAAACATTGTAAATATCGGGCTCCAGTGGTATTTTATCGAAGAAATAAGGTCCATTAATTTTGTTCCCGATCCTTCCTTCATCCATTTTGCCTTCTAATACCTGCTTATATATTGTTTGTGTGTTAGTTTTATGGAATAACATACGATATCTGGTTTCATGGGTATGTTCAGCAACTGCTGACTTTTGATAAGTGGTCAGTGATATTTTGAATGTACGGAAGGACAACAATGTCAAGTGTACGGTTGCTTTCGGACTCATTGCCTTTGGAAGGTTGGGGTGAAGTATATTTTTTAATGGAACGCATAATATCTCTAATGTGAAGAGTCTAAACTTCCAATAAAATTTCAGAGGGAATCTTGACCGTGATGCCAAATTATCGAAGTATCATCAACGTAACCCTTCCATAATTTTGGTTAAAGATGGAAGGTGTCGAGAACTTTCTTCTCAAAGGCATTCGCAATGACTGGTGATAATAGCTTTTCACTACGTTTGTTCATAAATTTGACCGTTACAAGATAATTCCATATTCTCGGATTTTAATATATCTGAAATTATATAGAGAGTTGCAGGAATTGCGACTTTCGTAAAGAGGGATTCTACGTCGAAACCAACCAGAATGCCGTTTGGAACTAATGTAGTGTTTTTTAATTGTCCAATGAAATGAAAGAAATTAAGGAGGAAAATATCAGATCTAGTTATTTTGCTAGATAATATGTGAATATGTCAATATGTCAATTTAGCTTTATACAATAGTACTCAAATAGATGTAATACGAATTCCGATTTTGCTAAATTATTTGTTAGAGTTAGTCATGATGTTCTCCTGCAGAAACTGTCATGGTTTGGTCTCTCTGAAGGTCTTATCTTGGGCGCGTCGTATCTGAGCTTACGGAAATAATATGTAGTTTACAGAGGGGTCGCTTCGGAACTTTGTACAGCACATTCCAGAGTTCTACAGGGATCGAACCTCCTTTTATTGAAAAAATGCTGGAACAGAAAGATTAAATTTTTGAAGAAATATCGGGTTCGCCATTATCACCGGTCATCGCGGATATATTTATGGAAGCCTTCATCTTACCCGTAAAGAAATAGATCAAATCAATAAGACTCATCTTTTCTCCATCTTGTTTTGTTTTGTTTCTAAGTAAAACTACTTTCAAAAATTCAAAAAACTAACGTCAACCCTAGTGAAACCATCACACTCTTCTCAACTACCAAACACTGATAATGAATTATTGCATCAACTTCCTGACACGTAAAAATCAGTTGTTGCACAAGGTTCTGGCTTGCTTGTCTGGAACATATTTTTCTTATAATGGTCAAATCTTTTAACATGCGTCGGGAACAGCTATAGGTTCACCAATATCACCAGTCATCGCGAAGATATTTATCGCAGCCTTTTTGAAGAAAGCTCTCGACACCTTCGATCAAAAACCCAAATTATGATGATACTTTTGTTATTTGGCCTCGTCGTCAATAGAAAATTAGACCTGACATTGCGTCATTCTGTTTACAGAACACCTATGCACACAGACCGATACCTTAATGCGTTGTCACATTACCATCAGGCCCAAAAATCATGGGTTATCAATGCACCGCCACACCACACCACAATGCGTCCCAAAGCAACCCCATATTCAAAACATTACTAACCACAAATCAAAAGTTCGTAAAAAATATTAGGTCAAAACCAAAGGGTATAAGATAGAGGGGAAGGTCGTGTATACTGTTACGAATGCACACAATCACGAAACCGGATATTTTGTTAGATAAAACTAAAAATCTTGCTTATAATAAATTCTTCTACCATCGAAGGATCCGGGATTCTGTAGATATCTATAATTAACCAAACAAAACAACAAAACAAAAATCAATCATCAATCAACCATCATTTATAGAGCAGAATGCGAGCCAGTTCCAGTTAACCCATTTTGTCCCAGTTTTGCGTTAATGATTTATTTTGTCACATCCAGGAAATATTTTTGCATATCCATTTGGACATTTTATTATTATCACTACTAAATAATATAAAACCGTAGAAATCGCTAATTTATGTGTAAAGGCAAGGTCTTATATATGACTTCAAAAGGTAACAAAAGCGGTACAAAAATTTGTATCACATTTTCAAGTAAATCCAAAATAATAATAAAAAAATATTTTGGATTTGTATTGCCATTTTTGTCAAGTCTATAGCATGTAGATTACATCGCAGAAAACATACATTGGAAATACTAAATTGATTATGCTTTATTGTTTGCAAATATTCACTGGTGCGTGTGCACCACTGGTTTTATCTTTGAAACAAAACTTTGTTATTGCAATTAGCGTGTTCCTTAGTATTAGTTTGTGCCTTGTGCAGTGAACGTTACAGTTCGTAAAATATGGCATTTCCGAGGTATTTGACTCAATAAGAATTAAAGGCGGCTATGGAGGAGATTGTGATTGATGGGGTCTGACGTGGATACCTTGACTGACGAAGAAGTTATGAACGATAACATAAATCTACAAGAGTTTGGGGAACCTATAGTTGGAACTTTCGAGTTACATACATCGCATGATACAGCTGTCCTTCAGCAGTCCTGTAATTCATCAACTACTCCATCTGAATGCTTCAGATGATGAAATCCTGGAATTGAAAGGAAGACATATGCTTTCTGCAAACGACAGGCTTGCTTCTACTGTCAAATGAGAGAAAGGTCAGATTGAGTACAGTCACACGCCTATATCCGATGAGTGAGGAACTAAAAAATAGACTTTCTGTAAAAACTCCGGTTGAAATATTTTTTATGTTTTTTGATGACGAAGTGATTGATTTGATATTAAATTTTCGGTAAAATATGCTCAAGGCAATAACCGCCATGAATAATCGTTGTCAAAAACGAACTTTTAAAATTTTTAGGCATTTTATTTTTCTCGGGTTATCATTCATTGATACATATTTAGCATTATTGGTCTACCGATGAAGACAAAGCAATTGATCTTTCAAAAAAATGTATGAGCCGCAATAGATTCCAATTGATAAAGCAAAACTTGCACTTGACATTTAATCTATTAAATAAAATGAAAAATTTTCAAGTTAGAACATTTTTTGATGTAATAAATAAAAAAAAATCAATTCGGCATATTTTCGTTCAACCTGTCCATTTCCAGATCGTTTTGGCTTCAAGCTTTGGTCATCTGATGGGTATCTATTTTATTCAATTCCATATGGTGGTGCCCAAAATAAACCTTACGTTTCGTGGTTCGTTTAGGTACCAGTATTTTTTTGAATGTTTCGAGTTTCTGTATAATAAGTATTTGACTGCATTATTAAAACCTCAAATAAAAATAAAAAAAAATGGCCGATCTCGATTACAACAATTTTTATAAACAATTTACTGAAAAATGAAAAGCGCAAGGGGGAAAAAATGTTTACAGTAAAGATCTTAATTTTATATGTAATAAATTATGTTTGCAGAGTAAATTCAACGTTAATTTATTAGATTTTCGCAAAAAAATGATTTACAAAAGAAAATTTAACCTTAACTATATCGATTACTGGTAAAGGATTAGTACAGCCATCACCATTGCATTCTAAGCAAGCTGCAGTGCAGTTTAATCCACTTTTCCTGCACCCACAACATGCTCCACATCCTGTTTTGCATGCGCAAAAAATAATTTTTAGTTAAAATTCTGGAGCTGGTCGCTGCGTCATTGTTTGCGGTATCAATATTCCGCGTTCATTTTTCCAACCCCATTCTTCTGGTAATATTTCTTTTCCGAACCATGTTCGAACTTGTAAATGTACTCTTTTGAAGTGTTCAAAAGCGGCATCTGCAGTAGGTGGTAAAGACGGCAGGTGGGGGGCATTATATAAAGCAAGAGTGCATGTAACACCAGCTTTAAAAATTTCATCGATGTCTTTGCATTCATTTTTAAAAACTGTCGCAGCATTTTGCAAGTCCGTTGGTTTTTCGAAATTTTTGGCAAACACGTTTTTGCCACGTTGAAAAAAAGCTGACGTATTTCATATTGTTGTTTTTTAAAACATATGATTGTATTAGATCCTCATAATGATTCATTAACCTCATTTTTATCGTTTTATCATCAGGAATATGATCAATTGTCACAATACTTTTTAATTCTACCAGTGAAAACTGGCAGTCATCATTTTGTTAATATATTTGAAAATCTGCTCCATTGCTGCATCTACTTGTATTGTGACTGGATGAATTTTGTCCCTCTGGGTCTGTTTTACGGTAGTTTTCAAACGCATATAACAATCCGCGTGATACTTAGCGTCCTGAGCTACTAGATCTACACACCTACCATTCTTTTATGGATATTGCGACAATATTCGCTTTTCTCTTCGCTTATCAAATTTAAAATAGTTTGCTTGAACTCAGAAGTAGTTACGTAGCTGATTTGCTGTCTTACCTATTTGGACTTTATTCTTTCCTTCATTTCATCTGCTTCTTTTTCACATAAAAAGCACTTATTTTTCCAATCAAAATCAATAGAAGTAGCCGTTTCGCAGTTTTTTTTTTGGTGGAGAGCATGTTGATGTGTTGTTCTTTTTTTTTTTTAAATAAGCATTAATACATCCTTTATTGGTATATTTTTAAATTCGCAATATTCAAATTCAAATTCGCAAATATTTAAATACTGAGAAAGTCCATCTCCTCTTTCCACAGAAGCAGCTTTCAGTGTTGGTATTCCTCTAATGACTTTTATAATATCTCTTAGCTCAGAGCTTAATTCAGAGCTACATCCAATTTTATCACAAATGAGGCAATCATTATTTATATTATCACCATTTTGATACGAGGCTGTAACAACAAATATTACTAATATCAGTAACTAACCTTAATATCACAATTGATTAAAATTTCAAATGTAAGGATTGGAAATTTCTCTTTTTTTTTAAACAAAAATGTGAAAAAATCGGAATTTTCACTATTTTTCCGATTAATTAAATTATTATTTCTGCATAAATAAAATACATAAAAATAAATCAACTGTTTGTGTAAGCACTATCTTATAGGAAATTTATATACTATTGAGTATTAATAAATAATAATAATAATAATAAACAAATACTTACTATTTATGCCACTATTTTCAAAGTTTGTAAAAATCAGTAATTAACTTTTATCACACTCACTGCACAATAATATAATTATTTTTTAATTATTTTAATTTTTTTTTCGGAGCAAACAACTACGTATCAAGCCTAGCAAGTTGCCACGTGTACTATTCTGTTAGGGCCCGCGTTAACACCCAACAGCTGCTGTTGCGCCCTCTATTCCCTTCCCCACCTTTCATCATCGTACCTGCAGTCCCTTGAGACCCAAGATGAAGTTTGTAATAGTTCTTCTTTTTAAAATCTAATTTTACACTAATATAACTTAAGGAAAACTCCATATAATTAATAATTATTAACAAATTAAGATCGCACATAATATTTTTTTTAACATTTTTCTATATGCTATTAAAAACACATTGCCAAAGTTTATAAAAAGATTTATTGATTGGTCCTGGATTCCCAGGTATAAACCTTACGGCGCTCCACTATATATTTTCTTACACATGTGATGTCTTCTTAAGTGCAACAAAATAAATAATTTCAGAGCAAAAAAGTATTTTTTTATGCTTGGGATAATATGGGTTAAGCTCTGAAGAGGCAAACAGTAGCAAATTCGATTCAACAACAACCGACGCAGAAAGAATCCAGAAGATTTGTAAATGGTAGTATCATACGCTTGTACTGGTATTTCCAGAGACGCCTTTTCGTCAACAGACTCTATTCCTTCCAATCATAAGCCTGAGGGAATGCGAACGGGTTTACGGGAAAACCTTACCCGTATCTGAAGACCAGGTGTGCGCTGGTGGAGAGCCCGGTCAAGACGCATGCAGTGGGTTCGGTGGAGCTCCTCTTCTAGTAAAGCATGGAGATACGTATTATCAGGTGATTAAACCGTGATTAATTTTTTCTTTCGCATCTACATATCATTATCGTTGCAGGTGGGAATATTATCGTTCGGATCGGATCAATGTGGGGCGGCAGGCGTGCCAAGCGTCTACACCAACATCAAGAAATACATATCTTGGATACGGGAAAATTCCCCGAAACCCATTTAACACTTAAAGCGTTTTTACTACCTTAAGGATATGCAAATTGGATTCGTAGAAATAAAACCAGTCGAAGTCGATATTGCGTTTTTATTATTTAATTAATCGGTGCTACTTGAATCGTCAATAACAATCAAACGTGATGGAAAACGAACGAACAAGGTATGTACAAGACGTACTCTAAAAATTATCCGTAAATATCATCATCAAAGGCGGTTAAAATAGTCCGTTGAAAAGGATGAATTTTAAAATATGTGAACAACACACGTATATCTCACTATAATTGTCTCACTTTTCAAAATGCACGTCAGGTAGCAGAGTAACAAAATCTTTACTTGAAAAATTGGTATGCATATATACCGGGCGTCCCGGCAACAAGGTGGATCCGCGTAAAAGTGTTGATTTTCTGATGGCGTTTTTAAAATCTTAGGAAATATGTTTTCGATTTTTTGACGATTTCGTGTTAATTAAAAGAAAAAATATATTGGACAATTTTATTCCAGTTATCAATGATAAATGTTTGTCTGAAGCAGATAGTTCATTTAACCAAGACGATCCCTTAACAAATAGGCAAGAAAAAATTAATGCTTCATAGTCAAGGGCGAGAAAGGAAGAAAAGAAAGGAAACAAAGGAACGAATAACTATTTCTATCGAAGAGCACAACAAAATTTTATTTTATGCAAAACGAAATAGTTTTTTGTAGGGCAAGAACTCTCTCTAATAGGATTCAAAAAGAGTCAAGAAAAGTGAATGTAGACTGTGTGGCGGATAGAACAAGCATTTCTCTCCATATCACTCCAGGACAAATGAAAGCGATAACGATTTTTATATTATGGAGAAGCGACGACCTATTTTAAACTTAAGAATTCAAAATTGAATAACAAACCATTGTACCTACTGTTTTTTTTTCAGTTATTAGACAGAAAAGGCAAGGCAAGTAAGTTATTTATTAATATGTTTGTTGTTTTGTGATGTAATTTAAAAAACAAACATTAGAAATTAAGATAAAGGTACCATGACTTTTGAAATAAAAGATAAACGTAAACGTATGAAAGAAACTCATAATATTTAAAAAAAATGAGAAAACTTAGAAACGAAGGGTGGAATGTTCTATATAGGGACGAAAACTATAAACATAGTCAGGTTTGGTTCGATGATTCTTATATGGGCAATCTAAGACCAATTTCCAAGGGCCAAAGACTTATAATTGTTGATTTTTCGATCCGGTAAGAAAAATATATCTTTTTTAACAGAAATCCCGAAAAGAATTGTCAGCTGTACAACTTATTCAAATCTCTCTTATTCTCAGATACTGGTTTCGGCACGTAAGTTTACAAATATATTTATTATTTATTACTGTGTTAATTTCCAAACAGCAATAAATTTATTTATTTGATGTATGCGTTTTCATTTGCGTTAAACTTCTTTAAATGCAAAACGTTTTTCAGTATCCCGATGTTTTGAGGCGTGTAAAATTAAAAAAAATTCAATACAAACATCGCGTAACTAGTTTGTATTGTGTTGTGCTGGGAATTATTTTCGACCATCTGAAGCGGCCTCTAGGTGGCGTACTTGCTATTTTGATTCTGAAAATCCATGGTTAGAGTGAGTAAAGTATTAAACCTGAGACAACTATACACTTTAAGTGTACACTGTAAGTACCCACGCACACACTGTGTTAGTACACTTTAAGCTACTGGATACCCGGGAGTCGCACTTGAACTCCCCAAATGTCACACTTCTGTCAAAGTTGTTTTAATTAGTGAAAAAAGAAATATTCAAATATTAGTAATAATTAACTTCTCTTTACTACTTAACATCCACAATAAATTTGCAGGAATAAAATAGCGTGACGAGAATTGTTTGGTTAAGACATTAAGGTTTAACCAAAGAAATATAAACTTTAGTTTTTCGTTAGTTAGTTACCAATCCGCTATATCGGTCTGACTTTAATTTGCAAATTTTGCGTTCAACTAATATCCAACAAAAACATGTTCTGAGAGTCCTTGGATATTCAAAAGATATAGAATGAATATCCAGACGACCAAGCAGTTTTCTAGACTGCATGGATAATTTATCGACACGTCCAATCTATTAGTCCGAGTATTTAAACATTTTCGGAAATAATTCTCGATAATTCATAAAAGTCATTAAAAAAGACTTTTCTTAGGCTATCAATCTTAGGCTATCAATTGCGCTTTAAGTAATGCGATCGCCCTACTTACCACTACTACTACTAACTTGAATTATGAATGAAAGAACTTAAAACTAAAATAAATTGAATTTTGGAAATATTTTGAGTTTGCAGATTGTAATTAATTTCTAATAATCTATAGTTTACCAAATAAAACACTCATTAATTACGTTAAATCTTAAAATCACATTATTTATCTTTATTATTTTTCGTTACAATACCTCTAAGGTAACAAACTACCTGTTACTATTACTGACCCTTGGAAGCAAGTGGGTGTCAGACCTGTTCCATATAAGTAATGTCCAATCACTTTGTTGCCCACCATCTCAAAGGTTGTTTAAAAATTTGTTACTAAACAACTTCGTCAGCGCCTATGCGATGACAAAATCCAGACGCTCAGTCGGGTTTCCGACTTATCCACAGCGCTACTTCTGCTTTACTCCATGTTACTGATAATTTGGTGAGAGCAGCTGATTCTAAATTTAACTCTTAAACTATAGTAAAGCGTTCATCACCTCGAATCACTTCCTTCTCTTACGTGGACTAAAATACTTTGAGACAAAAGGCACAGCTGTTTCATTTTTTAAAAAATTTCTTTCTCAGAGACACCAAAGATTGGTAATAGTAAATACTTATTCAGATTCAATTGCTTTAAAAGGCGGTGTTCCCCAAGGAAGTATTCTGGAACCTATTCGATTCTCGGTCTTATATTACAGCTTATATGGCAATATCCTATTATTATTAAAGATAGTTTAATATTATTATTATTCAGTGCTATCAGTTATTTTTTCATTAAAAGTACGGTTTAAATTGTTAAATTGTTGGAGACGAACTTTACTAACTGTAGATGTATTTAAATGGTAAAATGGTGAAGAAATATCTAATATAAATCATCTTGAACACAAATAGTTCAATTTTAATTATCAAGATTGCCATTAAAAGAGATTTTGTTTTTTGTTTTTTTTTTTACCGTTTCAGAGAGTTCAAGTAGCATATCAATTTTCTTATTGCTATTTTGTTTATTCACATTTAATATATCTTATTATAATGAAGAAATAATAAGCTTGGGCGGTCTTCAAGAATTGACTAGATTGGGTTAGATGATCAACCTAATTTTTAGCAAAAAAAAAAAATGTTTCATGATAGTAAATTAATTAAATGGGTATTTTGTTTGCTTCTAAAAAAAGATAAATAACAATTTTTTATTAAATTATTAAATTAAATTAAATTATACATTGAAAAAGTTTTGCTTTACTTTTTTTTTCAATTGTCAGAAAACGCCCTCTGGTAGCAAGGGGTTAAATCCTTTTGAATCTATCGCCATATGTTTCCAAAAATGTTAGGTTTTCGCAATCAAGATGACAATCGTGTCCACCTGGCGGCCATTTCAGAAAACTCCAAATAATTTCCAGCGTTTTCCCGATTTATTTAATTTATCTTTTCCAAATTTCACGGACCACCTGTTTTCCTCACTGGGACTCCCGGTTCGATGGCGGGACGAGATTCGGTTACCCGAAACCCCAGTAAAATATTACAGGTGTGAAAATGCGGGCAAAATACAATGCGAACCCGAAAAGGCGTCGCAAATTTTGGGGAAAGTCGAAAAAACAGTAACACGTTGGACCCACATCTCTGTAACGCTATAGGAAAATAGAATATTTTATAGACTAAATTTAACGAATCGTACAATAAATAAATCTCACTATTTACAAGAGGAAACGTTTATGCAGGATGTAACAGAGCAAATGAGAACGTTTAGGTCTAAATTGGTTAAATATGGCCGCCCGTCGTTACTCAGCTCATATCGATACTAAATAAGCCTAAAAAAAAAAAGACGAAAAGACCGCCAGCTAACCTTATATTGTCTATGGTTTTAATAAGCACAAGTAAGCACATTACAATGGGTCGTAATATCTTAATTGCATGAATTATTTCAAAATCGTTTCTAGGTTAGGGAATGTTCTTTATTTTAGTCGTTTACTTCTAATATTGCCACCACTAAGTATTCCAAATATTGCCATTGGTATAATTAGGAAGATAAGCAGTATCAGGAAGTAAATATAAACTCTTTTGCAGATCGCCAAAAAAGAATGTCCATCAAACAGACTTTCATTTTAGAACCCAAGATCCCAAAAGAACACTCTGAAGGTCATCGGTATTAAATGCGAAACAAGAAAATTACTGAGTCGGAAGAATTCACAGATTAATAAGTAGGAAGAAAAGTGAATTTACGTATGCAACAAAATCTCAATAGTGCTGAAAGAAAATAGTTCAAGTGATTTTTGCACAGCCATCAGCATTGAAACGAAGAGCTCAACAAATGAATATAGCACTAGCAGAAAAAATGAGTAATTCTTTCATAAGTTGAGAGGAACTAACCAGATGCTAAGGTTATATGACAAACCATGAAACATGGACGAGAAAAGCTTCAAATTGTGAAACGGTCAAAACGCGTACATTAATGGACTGGGTTTATCAGTACCAACCTTAGGTTCAGAAAAATTTTTGATTTCGTTTTGTTAAACCAAACATTATTTCTGGATTTAGAGCCACAATTGAGACCATAACCTGAAGAGGCTTATGTTTGATTACCTACAGAAAAGCAAAGGAACAAAGCTTTCACACTAATTCCCAAAGTGTATAAGATGTCGTTGGAAGTTCTAGCAAGTCGATCGAGTCTTTAGACAATAAAAAAGTACGTGCCAAAAAAAACCGCTTATCGCAATAGTACCGTTACTAGCGCAGATTGCGAAGATAAAATGCAGTTTTAGAAAAGTTTAACAAAAAGAAGAAGCAGACTAGACAGACTGATAAACTTGACTTCGGATTTATTTAGAGCTGTGAAAACAGCGAGGATTATAAAATTTCTGGTAATCGGGCTACTATTAAAACAAAAACAAAATAGGATTGCAACTCATGAATTTACTCCTGAAATTAAAGAACTCACGCAAAGAGGAAGCTGGCTTGAAACAGCAATCTCCAGCAAACTACCAAAAACAAAATATGATTCACCAAAAGTTAACAGAGAAGAAAATGGCAGTACAAAAAAAACCGCAGAAAGAAGTGAAAGAACAGAAAGAATTGTGGTTTAGTTTTTTATGTCACACATGCGGGAGGAAGATATGCGCTTGTGCATAGTTTGCTCTAAAAATGTACATGAAGCCTGTATATTCCTAACCAAAAAAGACAAGAAACAGGTTTACTGATCCTGATGGTAAGAAAAAAATTTACTTGTAATCAATGTTCTTAATTTATCTATTTTTAGAAGAATTTGTTAGTTTTTCTAGAGTTAGGACATCACGCCTGGTGATTTTCTATAAAAAATTCCAATAATTTCGTTAATATTTAGTTTTTTGAGCCAATTAAAATATGGTGTTAGAAACAAAGCATTTATAAACGGCTACGCAAATTTGTAGCCACTTATTAATAAAGAGTGTCATTTACAACTAAACGCTAAAGTAGCAATGCTTGGCGACCCTAATTTGATTAAAATTTTATTTACAAATAATGCGATTCTAGAACAACCAGCGTCGTAGTCATATGAAGAAATATTTTATTGTAGGTATTATTGTAAAACGCTGGCTATTCTTGTTCGATCATTTAACTTTGTTATATCCTGTATATTGCTATATAATTTAGATGACATGAGATGAATCCTTTTCATACTCTAACAAACTACCTAGTAATTTAATTATTGACTTCTTTTATTTACAATATCGTTCAGACCTCGACGATAAAAATTTTAAAGAGATTTTCGCATTTGCATTTTTGGTTCGAGTGAACCGGAACAATTTTTTAAATTTGAATGATAACCCATCGTTTCGACAATGCATAGTGTGTCCAAGATCAGGCTGTCTTTCATGGGCATATTGGAAACCATAACAGATACGAAGATTGTTGAATTGTTGATTGTTGAAACAAAGCACTAGTTCTTGAAGCCTTTGAAAATATTACAACTGATTGTTTAAAAAATGATCTAAATTCTACACTTACAAAGAGTTATATGTGTTTGGCAAATAATAGTCTTTTGATCAAACATTCTTTATAAATTTTTTTATAGTGAGTTTTCTTTAAGTAGCTGATTTTATCTTTTTTTTATGCATCCTAGTACACCAAAACATTGAAAAGTTAATAAAAAAAAAACGTTTTTTGTGATTTAAAAAATGAGGAATCGTATATAATTTTATTCGTAATAAAAAATGATCTTTAATACATGGTGCAGTTTTTTCACACACCATATGAAACAATAATATCGTGAAATAAAACGTCATACTTAAAATCTCTCAAAGCTATCTTCTAGAATTCAAAAAGTAGCCAGTAGGTGATCTTTTTATCGGCAAATTTCGTTTTCGTTATCAACCTTCAAATTTCCCAACTTTTCCCCCGTTTACCGCATTTCAAAGCAGCGTGGAAAGTATTCGAATTGTATTTGAGCTGTGTTTTAAAAGCTTAAAGTATAAAATTGTTGTTTCTTCATTTCCATTTCCAAAAAAATGTCGAACGTACTTATCATTACGTCCTAAATGTTGTGACTACATATTCTTAGGCCGAATCCTAAATATTAGGAAGTACAAAGGTTTTTCTAAAACAGACAATGATTAAGTACTATTATTACTAGTTACAACTATATATTACCATTATTACTATCCTTAAGTGTTAGAACTTTACTGTGTGCGCTAAATAATAAAACCGGAAGTACGTTCTACTTTTCTAGAGTAAATAAATAATTGGTCAATTTTTCAAATCTACGTCTAATATGCATTTTAATATCATTTACTTTAACTTTAATGTAATACCATTCTGGTAAGATAGATTTGGTTTTCCAACAACTATGTGAGAAATTTGCCTAATCCGTGTCTAAATGAATCTTTTCGTCTTCATTTTATAATGTAAAAACGATCATCCCGTAGGTAATTTTGCGGTAAAGCTTAAGCGAAACTATTTAAACCAGGACGTTTCGAACAACCATGCCCATCCTTCAGTTTTAAACAAAGATGTGACGAATTGTCGAGGACGACAGGCTTCTGTCGGCATTTTGGATATTTAAGATAATTTTTTCACGCCCACCAATTGCGCTCAACTTACGCTGCCACTGGAATTAAATCAAGAGGTTTGCGGTTTTTTTCAATGCACAAAAATGTTTTTGAAATTGTAAAAATTGACTTTTAATTTTTTCGAAAAGTAAAAATCAAAATCTGCCTAAAATTTAACATTCGATTCGTTACCATTTATACCCTCCGTATGGATATACAAAACAAAAGATCTAAAAATGATTGGCTCCCATCTCAAAGCACAAAAATGCTGAAGGGAGAAGCGGTATTTACATTTTGGTCTTCAACAATATTCACATTGATGTTGAGCGTTGTTCGAAAGTGATTTAAATTGATATAATTACTTATATCGTTCGCGAATACAAATAAAAACTGGGATAACACACGCTAACAATGAAATACAAACATTTTTGTATACACCAAACGATTAATTCGTTAAAATTTGGCACTTTAATCACTAGCAACCCTAACGTGTGACTTAGGGTTTTAACACAATTATCTTAAGCGTGCCACCCATATTAAAATTCCGTTTACCTTTTTTTTCTTCTTTAATTCTACACATTTTACGAAAAATTAAGATCGATAATTTCCGATTTGGGTATCCATCAAATTGCTTGGTGTTTTCTTAGTCGTTAGTTTGTGTCGGTGACATCAGATATTTTCAACCTTCACGCTACATGTTATTACAATTACTTGTAAGTACCAAAAGAATATTACATTTATATTACGTATGTTATCACTTTTGGTGTATTATTTCGACGTTATAGTATACAGTGTACTTTTATACAGGCTACTGTCCGGGATGAATTTAATAAAAACCATTTATGGAATACTATTCCTCCTCCATGTCGTCTTGCAGCCCGGCTTTGAATTTCGGCGGCACCTGCTTCTGGAAACAGTCGTCCAGAAACTTTTCCATGCTCCTGTATAGGTGCCTTTTGACGCCGCCAAGGTTGTGGCTTTCATCGGGATAAATCTACAACGATCGTTCAATTTTACATCCGCAGAATCAGACAAGCTCGATATTATATATTAATAACAATACTTCATACATCAAAAAATCAATCAAATCAAGATCTGTTAATATAGTGCTTTCATAGATAGTTTTGGCGTTATTGTTTTTATTGATTGATTGATTTATTGTAGTGCTTACAGTTACTAACGAGATAGCGTTACAAAAAACAAGACGACAAAGAAATTTTTCCAAACAAAAAATATATACTTAATTTTGCCAATGGGAACAAAAGTAGTGTTAAGAAATATTGGAAGAAATATGAAAAAGGAAAACAAGGCATAACAGTACGATCCTACTAACGACGTAAAACGAATCCCTGTACAGTAAAAAAAAAAACAAGTATAACAGTTTTATAATGCAGATATAAAGCGATCTCAATTAAAAGAGGGTTGCATTTTGTCACCATTGCTTTTTAATTTATACTAGGAGACAATATTCGAAGAAGCTTTCGAAAAGATGGAAAAAGGAATAAAAATAAATGGGGTAATAATAAACAACTTAAGATATCCAGATGATTCCGTTCCACTGGTAGATAAAGGACTTCAAAAACTCCTAGATCAAGTAAAAGTTTCATGCAACCATTACCGTCTTAAACTTAACATCAAAAAACCAAACTTATGGCTGTAACTAAAGAGCCGAATATACTGTGGATCGGCGAAAGTAAACTTGAAAGGGTCAAGAGGATTAAATATCTGGGACAATTATTAAGAGAGGACTGGGACCATTCACACGTATGAGGAAAGTGGTGTGTGGACACGAACTTAAAATTAAGCTCAGAATGAAAACGTTTTCTCAATTTCTCTCTATTTTAAAAGCCAGACTACCTTAAAAAAGCTAGAAGCTTTTGAAATGGGTGTACTATTTGGTTATCATTTGGATATATTAATCACACTGTAATGGAGTGGTTTCAAACAGTTCCTAATCTAAAATCAAAAGTAAACAAAATAAGAATCTAGTCATGTCTTACGTGAAGTCAAGTTTTCAATCCACCTCGTATATTTCTGAGAGCCGAGTGTATTTTTGCAAGACGTTCTAAATAATATAATCATCAAGTTTCATTCCATAATTTAATTCATATTTAGAAAACATCTTCAATTATGATCAAAGTCTTGACTGGAACCTTCGGCACTGTACTAACACGCAATAACGCGTTTTACCACAAACCGAAACTCAATTTCACCTTCATATAACCTTTTCCATATGTCATTGACTTCTCGACTTTGATTTTATCTTTGACTGGATGATAAGGGCAGTTTAATTTTTTGGCAATTGATGTTTTAGTAGGATTTGAGTTGACATAACCTCAAAAATCCCAAATGACATCATGGGTAAGTTTTCTACCATTTTCTGGAATTCGGAATTTAGCGAGGCCCTAAACAACTTCCTACTCTAGGGTTTTTTTCTTCCTGTTCTACTTTTTTTCGATTTCGACACTTTCTGGTTGCTGGCGAGTACATGTTGGAGTTGTTAGAGTTATGGATTTCAAGTAGATTCGTGTAGGAGCCAGCCAGACATTTTACCGAGACATTTCAACCAGGACGGGTTCAATACGCTAGAGTTTTTACCAAAGAGTGCGATTGTGAAATTTTCTTTCCTTTGGATATTTCGAAAGATTTATATCGACCTTCTCAGAATGTACAATTTTTTTGTTAAATAATCTGTAAGGCAAATTGCAAGTTGGAGTCGATACTTCTAGAGTGTTTCCGTTATCAACTTGGTTAAAAGTTTTGGATCTCAATAATTAAGCATCTTATGCACAAACAACTCCTGAGCAAGCTTTAATTGCACGCTTGCAAAAACAAGTATGGCAAATATAAAATTGAAGAAATAACTGCGAAATACCGAGTCGCTGCGAAATAAAACCTATGGAGATGATATGGAATCAGGTAAAGCGACTTGTGGCAATGAACAACTCTGATTTTAATTTCGTTCCTTAATAGATGAAGCATTTCATGTTTTTGTGTTGCTGAACAAAATTGGAGTAAATATGTTAATTACGTCGCAGAAACAAACGAAAGGGAAATGTGACGAACTTCTGAAATTCTGGTGACAGTTCCGAGATCGACATTAACATTTTGGATCTTGTACAAGAATAAAAAAAGCAGGCACGGTAATAGTATATTATGCAACAATTGCATAGTAAAATACTTAATTACACACCGATATATCGAGCAGGAACCGTCACTTTACCACGTCAGTTTCGTTTCACATGAATCTTAGCCACTTCGGACATTTCCGGAATTAATAGTAATAATAATCAACTTTATTTCACATTGTGTCATAAATACATTACCTAAAAATAATATACCAAACACAAAGCACTAGATATTCTTACAAATTTCAATTACATCGTATTAATTAAACAATTATTTAAATATTACAGAAAAAATCTTCTATGGAGTAAGGTTATAACTCTATCAATAACTTTTTTATTGTGTATTTAAACATTTTTAGATTTGCAATTGTTTTTATAATCCCAGGCACATGTAATAAGGACTCCTTTTAGTTAAGGTTAAACGGTGAATAGGGTAATTTACATTTAGGGTTCTGGTATTATATCTATGAGATATCTGTAGTTCGAAGTGCTTTCGACCCGATGTTTTCGGAGATATTTCCCACACTTTGAATTTTGACGTTTGTCAATTCTGACGGTCATGTCAGCGAATTTTTTGTTGTTGTTTTGCGAAAATGTACCCAAAAAGTAACGGTCCTGGAAAAAGAATACTATGGAACACGTTCGGTAAACTGTTAAAGTCACTCGTTTATTAAACACTCGCTCCGCTTATGTCAAATAAACTCGTGAGTCAAATGCCGTTTACCGCATATATATTAAATATACTTGTTTTCCTTTTATTTTAATGCTGCGTCTGTCTGTGGGAAAGACTAGTTTATAAATAAATAAATAAGCTGCCTAACAGCTTCTGGCATACAAACACTGAGAACTGTGAATTACTCCTACCTTAATCCTCCCCCCCCCCCCCCCCCCAAGCGCTTCGGTAGGTAGGATGTTTGATATTAAACGTAATCCGAATTGAGTCGCAGGTGAAGCCCAGGACAGAAAATGGCAGCCAGTTAAATTTCCCTCTTACCCGGTCGGATGTTTGGATCGTTAAACAGTTTCAAGCAAACAAAAAACTTTTCACTCCAACTAACCCGCGAGTTCCTGATTACTAAATTATCTTCCGACTGCTGTAAATTTTTTTTTTTGCGAAATAAAGTTTTTCTCGGGCGCGGTCTCTACCGTCTCGCTAACTGTCGTATTTATTGAAAAGAAAACTGGAAAAGTTTGCCGTATAACTTTAATTCGAAGTGGTAAATATGGGAGTTAATCTTCTCGCGCGGAAAAGTTGGCGGTAGCAAATAATAAGTCCGCTACAGGTTTCGATAAAATTCATTTCGCGTTTTCCGACACTGCAGAGATTTTATCCGTTAGTGGATCTTAAAAGTGTAAGCGTTGATTGGGGACTAACAATATTTTTGAGGTTGTTGGTGTTCGGAATTTGCTGACGCCTATTTATATTTACACTGTATTAAATCTACAGTCAGTATTCTTTGGTTCCAGAGAACTTTCAGAGAAGTTTTGTATTTTGTCGCTGGAAAATGTTCAAAAAAATCGTGAGAATTGGGGCATATACGACTTGAAAAGTTTCCGACCTAAAAATGATACAAGACAGTTTTTTTTTAATTTTTCTACATAGTCTCTTTGTAGGTTTATAAACTTCCCCCAGCGATGCTTCCATCTCTAACCCGTCCAAATAGTACCCAGAGTTTTTCTCAGCAAATTAGTTGTTCACGAAGGTTATTGCGTCCTCATTTGACGAAAACCATTGTCCTCCAAGCGCAGTTTTTAGATGAGTGAACAAAAATAAGTCGAAACCGTAATGGCAACCGCTAAAGACTCATCTGCAATTTCTGCAATTTCTATCCTCAGCTTGTGCGTAGTTTTCTTCTGTAATGGTTTTTCCTTTTCGAAGGTGATTGATTAAGATGACTCCGTGGCTGTCCTAACAAACAGTTCACTAACAACATGTTCACAGCAGAAAAAAAAGTTGTTGCTTGTTTCGGAGAAAGTTCCTCATCCGTAGTCCACTGTTTTGATTGTCTTTTTGGCTGAGGAATATAATGGTGTATCCAAGTTTCATCTACTGCCGCTACTTTTACTTCTACTCGCGTTTTGGTCTACGTCTACTCTGCTATCTCCCTCGCTTTAAATTGATGATCGTTTAACACCATTTGATGAGCTTTAGCAATATTATTTTCCACGAAAACACTCATGTCGACTCACTCAAACGACTCCCAACTAAAAACTTGCAAAATGGCTGAAACTTTGGTAAGGATCTATCAAGAGGAGCACAACTACGATCACTAGCTTTTAGTAACCAGTGCCGCCATCTTCGGAGGTGGGAAACTTTTCAAGTGACCCCCGTAGAGTGAGCGGCTAACATATGGAACAAATTCATTTAATGAACAGGTATTGGATTTTAAGAAAAATGCTCGCACACGATCGTCATAACTTTGTCTGAGTTAAACATTAGATACAACGCCATTACTTTAAATAAAAAGTTTAGATCATCTAAAATTTGTGGATTTTTCATATGAATTCTTGATTTTAAAAATCCTCAAGGGAAAAAAATTGAGTAGAGTAATATCTGGAGATCGTGCAGATCATTCAACCGATCCCCTTCTACCAATCCACTGTCCAATCACTTTTCGAGCGCACTTAGCGAGCAAAATAAGGCGGAGCACCATCCTGTTGATCCTATCTGGCAAGCTGATTTGAATATATTTTTTGAATATATATTTTGAATATATTTTTTTGAATATTTTTGAAAATAAATACGAACTAAAAGTTCAGGTTTTCACGAAAGTTTAATAATGGAGAGGTATTTAAGTCTAATTGATCGTTAAGCAATACATTTGATTGTCTCATTTTGTTAATCTCCATGGCTTCCAATAAATTT